ATTGTTGAATGTATTCATATTCATCTTGAATTCTTGTTTATCTTTGAAAGATAATCAGGTACTTTACCAAACTCTGCTTTTTGAGTCCACAAAGGCTCTGGTTGTTTAACTTTCTTAGGTGCACTAAGAATATTGTCAACTGCATTACTGACAACAAAATTCTTCTTGCTTATTAATCCCATAATTGGTTTTTCTTCTTTCTTAGGAACAGCTGGACGTTTTGATAAAGTATCAGGCATTGTTCGTTCAAACTTTTTAGATTTTTGTGATTCCATTGTTCTTAGTGTATCCGTGTAAATACCTTGCTTCTTCTTTGTAAAGGAATCACTTCTTACATCATGTTTTACAGTCTTTCCCATTGTAGCAGAGGATTTTTTTAATTTATGATGACCTCCACTGTGATCCAAATCATAGTAGCTTCCTCCAGCATTGGCTATTCCGGGTTTTGTTGTGTTATTAAGACCGAAAGTTGAATAAGAAGGTGGTGTTGTACCTGGATAAGCCGATCTATACATTTCCTTCTTTTCTACAACCTCCACAGGTTTTTCTATAAGATTATAAACAGACTCTTCCTCTTCAGTGTCTAGTCTTTGATGGTAGTAGTTTGACATTTTTTTTCTATACTATTATTTACTGATTTTTAATTTGGCGGGAAAATGATCAACTAATTAACTTGCTCAACAGAATGTAACGTACAATATTTTGATGAGAAAAGATGGTAAAATCGTATTACTTGAACACACTTTAGAATAACAACTACTACCACTACTACTAATTATAATGATGATCATTGGATTAGAGGATTAGAGGAAATAAAGAGCAGACTTGATATAATTTACACTCGCAAACTTTAATCATAAAATTCATCAGCAGTAGTTGTAACTGGAATACAAGTTGTGGTGGTAGTGGCAGTGATGGTGGTAGAAGTGAGAGGTGGAATTTCAACAACTTTATCAATACTTGTATCAGATTCATTGACCATAATAATAGATTCATTATCAACAATATTAAATGATTCTGTTGATTCTAAAGTGGAATGATCTTCATCAATTGCACATTCACTTGTTGTTTCACTACTATTATCATTAACATCTAAAAGTGTATCAAGATCTGATTGAATTTTAGAATCTCCTGATTCAACATCTTCTTTTGTAACAATTGATTGTTCTCCAAATTCTGGTAAATATTTCTTAGGTGGTTTAATTGTTTGATGGAATTCACTGAATGAAAATTTAGTTTTTGTTGAATCACTTTCTCTACAATAGAATGAAAGTGATAATTGATTTTCCTTACTAAATTGTAATTCACCAATTACTTTAGTACCAAATGAAGGTGACATTGGTTCAATATCATTGTTCTTATCATTCTTATCTTCTGGTAATTCATTAATACTTGATTGATTAGTTTGATTATTATTACTATTCTTTTTAAAGAATAAATGTTTTAATGAAAATCCATTATTACCACCACCACTATTATTATTATTCTTACTAGTATTATTATTACTACCACCACCAGTATTATTAGATTGATTATTTTTCAAAGATTGAGTGGTAGTAGAATTATTACCTGTACTATTAGTATTATTTAATGATTGATTTGTTGTAATTGTACCATTAGTAGTAGTAGTATTGGTATTATTGGTATTATTATTGGTATTACTATTATTATTGAATGATGAATTATTACTTGTTAGAGAAACATTTGTTGAAGCATTTGTAAAAATTCTTGGATTAATTTTGAAACATTCTTGTTCAAATCTTCCGAATTGAATTTTTTGAATTTGAAAAGTTTGATAATCGTTAACAAGTTTTGTTCTTTCATCAATGAAAATCTTGTACAGATGAGTACATGAAAAAGCCTTATAAAAATCATTTGATTCAATTGAATGATGTTCATCAGTTATAAACCTAGAATGATCAAATTCAAATAAATTTGAATGTAATTTAAAGTGATGTCTATAATTACCGAACCAAGATGCCATACATTTAACAAAAAAGTCCATAATTCTAATATTAGTATCATATTTAGAAATGTTATTTTTAAGCATTGTTAAAACTCTATTTTCTTTTGGAAGTGAAATTAATTTAAATTCTTTTAAATTATTTAAAATTTTAGAAGAATCAAAATCAAATATAATAACATTTGTAGAATTTAAATATTTTTCAAATGAATAATCTTTTTGTAAAAAACCAATCACTGAACTTGTATGACGATTATTAATTAAATGTTCAAAAACTTTAATTTCATCACAAAATGGTAAAATATCACCACAATATTTAAATGGATAAATTAAACTTGTAATTGAATAAATAAAATTCATAACTTCTAATATATTACTACTTTCTCTTGTTGTTATAATAATTTTAATTGGATTTACTTGATTAGCTGCATTTGTTGTTGTTGTCATGTTATTATTATTATTATTAATTGTAGTATTATTATTATCTATACTATTATTATTTAAATAAATAAATTTATCTAATAATATATATTTAAATAAAATGATAAAATCATTTAAAATTAATTGTGATTTAATTTTTAATAAATTAATTTCACCACAAGCAATAAATTCATCAATTGAAGGTCTTCTTAAATAATGTGAAGAATCTAATATTGAATTTTTAGTATCATATCTAATTAAAAACTTTTCACCAAATTTTGGATAAGGTTGATAATAATATAAATATTCTAAAAAAGGTTGAAGTTGATCAATTACAAAATTATCATTACTTGATAAAAGTATTCTAGAATATAAAATTAATATTAATTGATTAAATAAAGAATAATATGGTTGATTTTTAGCTAAAAAACCAATTATACCAACTCTAGGTATATATTTACAATATATATTAATATTATTACATCTATATAGTATCACATTACTATATGTATTTAATAATGATAATTTTGATATATATTGTTGTATATTAAATCTATAAAAATAGCCTTTAGGATAATCAAATTCTAATTCCACATTAATATTATCTTGTTTATATCTTAAAAAGAATGCACATTCATATAATCGACTAATAAATGTAACTGTAGCTCCTCCTCCAGTTGTTGTTGTTGTTGTTGTTGTACTTTTAGTTAAATTACCTGAAATATTATGATGATTATTTAATGAAGGCATACTATTAGATGGTGAATTATTATGATCAAATGATGATGATGATGATGAATTATTTTGAAATGATGATGGCATCACTGCTACACTTCTAGATCGACTCATGATGATCAAGTATTAAAAGATGAATTCTAACGTTATATTCCAATTTTTGAATTTCTTTTTTTCCGCACTATTAGTGAAAAAAGCCTTTATGAATGAAAATAAATTATAAATTGATGATGATGTTCCTTGTTGTTCCTTTCTGTTATTAAAATTTTTGAATATGATAAAATTTGTTATTATTCAACAAGAACAAATAGCAAACATATAAAACAAGTATATATGACTACTACTATATAGTGAGTGAAAGAGAGAGAAATGTAGCGTGGTGGTGGGTGTGGTAATAGAAGAGTCTGCAGAATAAAGCAAAGATTTAAAAAAAAAACTGCCCAAGAATAACAAGTTTTTTTTGTGACGAGAGAAATTTTGTGTCTTTTCAATAAAGTGATCTGATGAAAAGCGACGGATACTTTCTCAAGGTAAAAAGTCATAGGAAATTCAACATGTGATCTTCCACTTCATCATCATCAGCATGAACAAAGTCATGAAATGAAAGAAATGTGATGAACGAATCATTGCAGTTGGTTTTTCACAAGATCAATGAAAAGTAGTGAAAATTCTTGAAATTTTGCAAGATTTTTAGAAGGTTGCATTCATTAATATTGTACATTTGAGTTCAGGTGTGTACTTGAAAGCTCTTTATTTAACAGTTTGTGTTTTAACATTAAGGTCGATTTCCTTAACATTGTGAGTTTTTCAAAATTTGAAATAATTATTCACAAGATTAGTAAATTGAGTTTTTATTTACAACATTATTTACAAAATTAACATGTTTTGAATTATATTTGTTGATGTTGATGTTGTCTGGAATTCTTCTTAATTGTAACAATAACAGCAACAATTGAAAATACCATAAATAATGGTCCAGCAATTGCAAAGATGATATAGACTGGGAAACCATTTCCATAACCAGTAGCAGCACTAGTAATGGAAGGATAAAATTCAATACTAGTTTCTGATAAGTACGGTTCAACAGTTACATAAATAGTTTTAGTATAACTATTATAATTAGTATAGGAGAGTGATGAAAATTGACTTGATGAATAGACATAAACCTTCTCACTTGTATAAGAAGTACTCTCTGAATTGATTGTAACATAACCACTTCCATCACTTGATGATTTCAATGAAATACTTTTCAATTTCAAAGTATTATAAGATGGAACATTAATTTTGTAATAATATTTCTTTGTAATTACACCTGTATAGACATAAACACCTTGATACATTTGAATGGCAGTGGATGTTGATGGATTTGGACTACTTTCACTTGGAATAGTTTTAGCAATAATTGAAATATATTGACATGCTGAATTAATATAATTACATGTCAATGATGTTGATGTATAGCTTGAAGAAACACTTAATGAAGTATATCCATCTGTTGAACATATGCATGAAAGTGAACTCTTTTGAATGATAATTGAATTTCCATTCATATCTTTGAAATTATTTCCATATTGGAAATTATATTGTAAATTAGCTCCATAACCATTTGGATTGGATACTTTTGTAATTTTGTAAGAATATAATGTTGTATAATCATTTGATTGATAGGAAAGTTGAGTATTAGAAAGTGCAAATGCATATGAATCAAAAGTTGGAAGAACATTTGGTAATTGATAGTTCAATGTTTCAGTAACTTGTCCATAATTATTAGTTGCAATATTATATTTAAATTGATAAGGTCCATAAAAATAATTGTAATATCCAATATTTGCACTTCCACTATCAACAACTGCTAAAAATCCAATTGTTGAACCAGCTGATTTTGCTGAGAGTTTAACAGAATAACTAATAGTTGTTGGACTTATTGGACTAGCTCCAGTATCTAAAAAGTAATTAACAGGTGCCAATGTGAAAATTCCCATATTTTGAGGCTTGACATTTAAAATACCATTTGAACATGTGAAATAATAAGTCAATTGTGTGTCGTTAGTATTCATACCATAATCATTAACAGATATACCATAAACACCTAATAAAGTATGTGCATTATCAGGTACACGATTAGTATAACCAGATACAGGATATTTAGAAAGTGTAAAAGATAATGATTGTGTTGAATTTCTATCAATGGTTAAGGTTAATGAACATGAAGAAGTTGCTCCAGAAAAGGAATAACTTGATGATTTGGATGTAGTTGTGTAGAGTGTACCAAAATTAGATGCATTGACTTTTAATACCACCAATACTTGGAGGAGAAACAATACAAGCAGTATTGTTCTGGTTCTTGTGTGTATGAGATTGGACATTTTTTTTTGTTGTTGTGTGAGAATGGTGGATCTGTTTGAATTGCACAAATTTAAGCATTTCCGTAACTCCATAAAATAGAAACAATTTTGAAGGTAAATTGTTTAAAATCAAAATGGAAGATAAAGAGAAATTATTTGGATTTAATAGACTGTGTTTGTAACAACATATATTAGAAGTAATTTTATATAATAATAATTACAATAATTACAATTCTTGAAATGCAACATTGAGTTGATCGTGTTTCTTCTTCTTCTTCTTCTTTTTCTTCTTCTTTTCTGATTTATAATTGTGAGAGGATGGATTTGTTTCATTCAATGTTGTTGTTGTTGTTTGTGAAGGTGGTGAATAACTTTCTGTTTTAATTGATGATTTTTTATCTGTCTTTTCATTTTCCATTTCAATTGTATTATTGATGGAGGTTTCTTGTTCAATAATTGGTCTTTTAATTCTTAATAATTTGAATATTCTCTTTTTAATATTAATAAAATCTCTTTCAAATATTCTAATTATATAATTAAAAATATTAAAATATTAAAAATAATATAAAAAAATAATAAATTAATAAAAAAAGTAAAAAAAACAAACCTCTTTAAACCCTTTCTAAAATTAACAGTACAAATAATAGCAAAAATAATAACTAAAATTCTAACAATAACAGCAAAAGTAGTAATAATAGTCATAATGACCATAATATCTAATTTTTCCAAAACACTATCTTCATTAATAATTTCATCCTTTTTAATCCAAGCTTCAATTAATTTATAAATTAAATAAATTGGTAAAACCAAATCAAATAAAATTACAAATATTTGTACAATGTACCATTCCTTTTTTAAACCCAAATAAATTGAAATTGGAATTAATAAAATGGAAAATACGTAACCAAATGATAAACCCAAATGTGACCAAGGAATCCAATCAAATTTTAACCAAAATAAAGCCATTATATATAAAGCAGTTAAACACATGATATCTACTTGAATCATTGATTTATAAATACAATAGAATCTATAATATCTCACTAATTCAGGTGAAGATCCAACACGTCTATAAATTTTCCATCCAAATGATCTATAAACAGGTATTAAAATGATTGTAAATAAAATTAAACCAACAAAATATAGACCTGTTGGTACAATAATTAAAAATATAACAATCCACATAAAAGTTCTAATTAATGCATCATGTTCCTCTTGTTTACCATCATTGGCATCAATTAATAATGTAACTGATTGATATATCATAAATGCTGCTTGTGTTGCTCCCCAAAATGATTTAATTAAAAAAGCAAATAACAAGTATTCATTCTCTGTCATGATTGCAAATATGGCAAAATAAATCAATGTCATTCCACTTAATAAATATAAAGAAGCAAGAAAATAAACTGCATAAGATTGTCTAATAACTGCATTAAATACTATAGCTGTTATACCTGCCACAAATATACTCAATACAAGTATAATTACTAAAACTACTAGAATTTTAGACCATATCGATAATTGTTTAATGTGTCTCTTGATAATTTCAAATTTGGATTTGTATGGTGAGGTTGATTTACTTTCATTCATTGCTTGTTCTGTATTTTTAATTACATCATTAATATCGTAATAGAATGTTTCTTCTTTTTCTCCTAATTCTTCTACTTCTACTTCTTGGTTTACTCCATGTATTGTTCCAACTGTTATTTGATGATTATTATTGTGATCATATTGATCATTGTTATCATAATGATGATGATGATTGGGAGTGTAGGAATTATTGTGCCGATTGTCTGCAATGTAATGGTTGGCAGACAACATTTTTTTAATTTTGCTTGGAAAATTAGTGACTGTGTTGCATGATGGAAGATTCGGATAAAAAGCAGACAGAGGTTGATGACAATTATTGATCTCTGTGTGTGTTATGGAAATTGTTACTGTGTTCACACACATTATCATTTATTCCACATCATGTTGATTGTTGTTCTATATTTGAGTTGGTTGAGAATCATGTAGATTGCACGGATCTTCAAGAAAAAATTATCTAACACTCTTTCTAATATTCACCTGAGCTAGATACTCTTTGAAACCAACATTTGAGGTTCCACCTCCTGTTCTAGTATTAATAAATAAGTTTCTTAAAGTTTCGAATAAATATTTTGGAAGAATATAATTGAATAATTACCTTAGTTTTACACTTTTCAAAGATTCTCCAAATCTATTGTGCAATAGTAAAATGCATTGACTTGCACTTATATAACCTGTTAAGTTTTTATCCTTACTCACAAAATCCATTATATTTACAAGACGATCTGGAGCAATTGAATGTGCCTTCTTTTCTTCACTCATCACTCGAAACACTATTTCTTCCAAATCCGATACTAAAAGATAATTGTGTACATTGTTATCACAAACTTCCCATAATATTGTTTCAACTATTGAATTTCCATATTGAAATCAATGCAATGAAACCTACCATCATCGATATATTCTTTTGGAGCCTTAATTTTCTTCAATACTTTTAATAAATCACAAGCATCCAATTTCTTATCCTTATTCCAATCAAGAGCTGCAAATGTTTCCCGAATCCTTAAAATCCTAGCTTCCTTATTTTCAACTGGTACTTGACCATCAAGTGTTTCCGAATTGGCACCAATAACTTGTTCATCCTCATCATCATTTGCCAGTGATCCTCTCTCAATGGCATCAAAATTTAATCTGGGTTGATAAGCATTCCTCATCATTTTTTTTTTAATTCTTGAATTGTCTTATCTCTCTTAACATCAAAACTACAGTAAATAGATGAATCTTATTGGATAAGACCATCACCAATTGTAAATTCCTAACATTGTATTTTCAACAGTTTTCAATTAAAAAATAAATTATTAATTTATTAATTAATTTTGGGAGGAGAAATATTCCTTTGATTCCTTTGGATTTGGCTTGATGGTAGCCTTACCCTTTTGCCATCCGGCTGGGCAAACTTCACCGTGCTTTTCAACGAATTGGAAAGCTTCAACCAATCTCAAAGCTTCATCAACATTTCTACCAACTGGCAAATCGTTGACAGTAATTTGTCTCAAGTTTTGGTTACCATCAATGATGAACAAACCTCTGAGAGAAACACCACCTTCCAAAAGGACACCATAATCTCTAGCCAAAGACTTGTCAAGATCGGCAATAAGTGGAATATCAACCTTACCCAAACCACCTTCCTTTCTTGGAGTTTGAGTCCAAGCCAAGTGAGTGAATTCAGAGTCAACAGAAGCACCAATGACTTCAGCTCCAATTTCTCTGAAAGCAGCAGCCTTTTCAGAGAAGGCAATGATTTCAGTTGGACAGACGAAAGTAAAGTCCAATGGGTAGAAGAACAAGACAACATATTTACCCTTGTAGTCAGACAAGCTGATTTGCTTGAATGAACCATCTTGCATCAAAGCAGTCTTGGTGAATTGTGGAGCAGGCTTTTGGATTTGTGGGGCCATTTGTATTGTTGGTATTTTTTTGATTTTAAAAAAATAAAATTTTATTCGCTTAAATAGATCGCGTCATGTTATTGTACGGACACCAAGGACTTTACTCTTGTAAGCTTGAGTGCTTTCAGAAGAAGCTTCTTCGTTGATCAAGAAAAACTTCCGGTCGGAAATTCTGTAGTGTTGTAATTGACTGATTCACCAAGGATACACCTTGAGGAAGGATTAATGGATACTTTGTGCTCACAATTAAGATTTTCCCAAAGTCCATTGAACCAAACCTCCACCTTCAATTAAAAAACAGCATATCAAAAAAAAGAACTAATTCTCTTTCAAATGAAAATACTCATACAGAATTGACCTAAGCCTTTAATATTAAATATGGCATTGTTCTGAAAAAAGGCAAGATTAATATATAATACAATTACAGAATTGGGATTATTCTTCATCAAAAATTGGATTGAATTTGAAATTTACCACAAAGATCAGTAAATATTAGAATACAGTATAATGTCCAAATCTGAAACTTGAAATTATTGAAAAACAATTACAAATTGAATGTAAATTTCGAGATTGTAAAAAAATACAATATCGAAATGACGATCATCCCTCCATTTCAAATTTTGGATTGATGTTTGTAAGCTGGTTACCTATTGTATTAACGTTGCTGTGCCATGACCCGAATTCGGCACAAATTCAAGTTATTTTTATTATTGCTTGGCTTTAAAAATAAAATTTTATTGCATTATTTTTTGAAGAATTAAAAAAATGGTTAAGAAAGACAACAAGAAAAAGCTCTCTGACGATGATTACATGTCAATGCTCGCCGAAGAACCTTCTGGTGAAGTAATTGCTGAAGAACCAGTTACTGAAACCAAACAACCAGAAACAAAGAAGGACAATAAGAAGGATAATAAAAAGGATAAAAAGAAAAAGGGTGGTAATGATGATTATGAATCTATGATTGCTGGTTCAATCGAAGAAGACAATAATACAGCCGAAGAAGCTCCTTCAGAACCTCAACCAAAGAAAGGAGGTAAAAAAGAAGAACCAAAGAAAGACAATAAGAAGGATAAAAAGAAGAAGGGTGGCAATGATGACTATTTGTCCATGATTGCTGAAACTGGTGATGAAAACGAACAACAAGAAGAAACACCAGCAGCCGAAGAAAAGCCAGAAAAGAAGGGCAATAAGAAGGATGAAAAGAAAACCGAAAAGAAGGACGATAAGAAAAAGGATGATAAAAAGAAGGACGATAAAAAGGAAAAGCCTTCAGCGGCCAAACCTGGTTCTGCTGCAGCTAAATCCAAGGCACCTTCAAAGGCTGTTGCTGCATTGAAGGAAAAGCTTCAAAAACAAAAGGAAGAAGAAGAAAGAATTAAGAGAGAAGAAGAAGAAAGAATCAAGAATGAACAAATGCTTCAAAAGTTAGCAGAACAAGAAGAAAGAAGAAAGGAACAAGAAAAAGTTGCTGAAAAACAAAAGAAGAAGCAAGAAATTGAAGAATTGAAGAAGAAGGGTTTGTACAAGACAAAGAAACAAATTGAAGAAGAAAAGAGAGGTGAACAAATGAGAGCATTGATGCTTCAAATGGGTCACGTTGCTGCTTTTGCTGATAAGAAAAAATCTGATAAGAAGGATGACAAACAAAAAGATCAACCAAAGAGTGACAATAAGGAAGATAAAAAGAAGGACGAAAAGAAGAAAAATGAAAAGAAACAAGAACAAAAGAAGGAAGTTGCTATTTCAGATGACAGCTGGGAAGATTTCGATATTGATGGAGATGGATCAGCTGCCACTACTGAAAAAGTTGAAACTGTCAAACAACCAGTTAAGGAAGAAGAAGTTCAAGTCGATGATGAAGAAGAAGAAGAAGAAGAAAAGGAAGAAGTTGAACTAGATGATGAAAATACTATCGGAAATGCTGCTGAACAATCTAATGAAGATTCTCAAACCGAAGTAGAATCTCAAGAAGATAGGGAAGATAAGAAGAATTCAGGTGCAGATCTTCGTTCACCAATTTGTTGTGTTTTGGGACACGTCGACGTTGGTAAAACTAAGATTTTGGATAAGATCAGAAGTACAAACGTTCAAAGTGGTGAAGCTGGTGGTATTACCCAACAAATCGGTGCTACTTATGTTCCTATTGATGCTATTAAGAAGCAAACCTTCAAGCTCAATGAAAGTGTTAAGAAGCAATTGCAATACAATTTGCCAGGTTTGTTGATTATTGATACACCAGGTCACGAATCTTTCAACAACTTGAGATCTAGAGGTTCATCTTTGTGTGACATTGCCATCTTGGTTATTGATATCAAGCACGGTTTGGAAAGACAAACAATTGAATCTTTACAATTGATTAAGAATAGAAAGACTCCATTCATTGTTGCTCTTAACAAGGTTGATGCTTTGTATGAATGGAAAGCAACTCCAAATGCTCCAATTAGAGAATCTTTGAAGAATCAAAAGAAGAACGTTATTCAACAATTCGAACAAAAGGTTAAGGATGTTCAACTCCAACTCATGGAACACGGTCTCAATTCTGAACTTTACTATAAGAATAAGGACTTTAAGTCTTGTTTATCTTTGGTTCCAACATCAGCTCACACTGGTGAAGGTATTCCTGATTTGTTGGCTCTTATGTGTCAATTGACTCAAAAGCACATGGTCAAGAAGTTGACTTACAAGTCAGCTATTGAATGTACAATTTTGGAAGTTAAGGTTGTAGAAGGTCACGGTACTACTGTAGACGTTATTCTTTCAAACGGTATTCTTAGAGAAGGTGACACCATTGTTGTCTGTGGTTTTAACGGGCCGATTGTCACACAAATTCGTGCTCTTTTGACACCGAAACCTTTAAGAGAAATTAGAGTTAAGGGTGAATATATCCATTGTAAGGAAGTTAAGGCTTCTTTGGGTATTAAGTTATCTGCTCAAGATCTTGATGGTGCTGTTCCTGGTTCCCAACTTTTGGTATACAAGAATGGAGATGATTTGGATGCTATGAAGGAAGAAGTTATGGCTGATTTGAAGGAAGTTTTGAACAGAATTTCCACAACTGGTAAGGGTGTCTTTGTTCAAGCCAGTACATTGGGTTCTCTTGAAGCTTTGTTGGAATTCTTAAAGTCAGAACATATTCCAGTTTCTGGTATTAACATTGGTCCAGTTCACAAGAAGGATATCATCAGAACTTCAGTTATGTTAGAAAATGCTCCTGAATATGCTGTATTGCTTGCTTTCGATGTTAAGATTACTGCTGATGCTAAGGAAGAAGCTGACAAATTGGGTATTACCATTTTCTCTGCTGACATTATTTATCACTTGTTTGATAGATTCAAAGAACACAAGGCCAAGAAACTTGAAGAAAAGAAGAAGGCTGCCGAAAATGACGTTGTTTGGCCATGTATCTTTAAGATTCTTCCAGATTGTATTTTCCACAAGAGAGATCCAATCACTGTTGGTGTTGAAATTGTTGAAGGTGTTTTGAAGCTCAATACTCCAATTGTTCTCCCAACCAAGGAAATGCTCGTTGTTGGTAAAGTTGTAAGTATTGAACACAACAAGCAACCTGTCAAGGAAGCTGATAAGGGCAAGCAAGTTGCTATCTCGATAGAATCCAAGAAGGAATATGGTAAGCACTTTGATCACACCGATATTTGTTACTCCAAGATTTCAAGAAGATCAATTGATATTCTCAAGGATTTATATCCAGAAATTAAGGAAAGAAAAGATTTACTTCTCTTGATCCACAAGCTCAAGCAAGTCCTCAACATTCCATAAACTTTTTAGCTAAAAACTTATTTATTTACAATTTAAATATTCATGTTCTGAATTCTTTTTTCTAATTCCTGCACAGCAAGTTCTCGTCTCTTTGATCTATCAGTAGTTTGTGATCCAATTGGTTGCTGTTCTGAAGCAACAACTTCAATATGTTTTTCGAGTAAGGCAGAGGCTGTTGATGATGAAGCGTGTTGGCTTGGTTTTGCAGGAGAATCCATGAAAATACTATCAAAATTAGAGCTAAGAGATACAGTCTTGTTTGAGGATTGATTATTTGATTGGATAGTCCTTAATTCTGAAACAATCTTTAAAGATCTAGCCAAATTATATGTGTAATTAGAAACTGGAAGAATGAAAGGTTGTAGCGAGGAAGGGAATAATGTATGGAAAGCAAATGAATCAGAATGATCACCCTTATATGGTGCTTCTACAATTCCATCATAGGTAGTTTGATAGAATCTCAAATAAATCCAAGAAATATAAAATCCAAAGATGATAAATGGTAAATCAGTAACTTGATTGGCAACGAATGAAATTACAATACTAATACATAAAGCAACAAAAGGAACATCTTTTCCTCTTAATGGAATAAAATTAATTGGATATTCTTCTGGAATTTGTTGTTTCATAATCATTGTAAATCCTAGAATAGATCCATGAAAACCATGATATTTAACAAATAGAGGAGCTGTAATTGTAAATAAATACAAAATAAACGTCATTAATAATGTAAAAATTCCACACAAGCAAGAAACAATAAATAAAAACCATAAATACATGCTAGTTGTCCAAATATTTGCAATTGTTGGAATTATTTGTTGTTGAGCAAGTAAAACATTCTTATTAATAATCCATTTACTTGTGACAATCACACTCAATACTGTAAATATAAAACTAATAATTTCTGTTTCAATTAAAGATGATGTAAATATATTCCAAATGAATAGTTTACTAATTGTGTGATTCGGAATTAAACAAAAATACTCCTCAGTATCACTAAATACTTTAGACAAGACAAAAAGTAATGTTTGTACAAATATTATAATTTTAGCTACATTCGGAACGTTACTAAAGAATGGTACAATATATGTTTGTAGTATTCCCCCTCCGGATGATGATGATGATGATGATACTGAAGAGGAATTCATCATGATGAAAATCTAAATCCTAAAATTTTTAATATATCAAATGAATAATCAATCCGTGTGTGGTGTGGTGTGGTTTGTGTCAATGATCACTGGTTAATATGGTGATGATGGAATAAAGGCTTGATGAATTTTTTTTAAATTTAAATAAAAACAAGAAATCCAATTCCTCAAAGCACGTCATTCATTTTGCAAACATACAATGTTCTAATCGTCATCATCATCATATTAATAACATGATCAAAGATGATGATCATGATAATGACTCTAATAAAACACAATAAGAATAATTAAGAATATGAGATGATCATTATCATACAATAATAGAGAGAAGATTTGATTTATTTTGTAATGATAACTTGAATATAGAAAGGAAAGATGAATTGTTGTTGAGTTTTCTTATTATAAATACAAAGTAAATCCATGTGATGTAAACCTTGTTGAACACCAATGTAGTGCAAAACAACTTTGGTTGATTGAGATGGTTTTACAATACCAACATCAATTTGAGCATCTTGACAAATTATTGAAGATTCTGCTGTTGGTTGTGATGAGAGAATTAAATCACATTCACTATCACTAAAATTAGATAAAAATATTGAAATTGTAAAAGGTGCCATTAATGCAACTGATTGCTTATCACATTTGATTGATGCAAATAATCCACGTTTTAAAATAGCAACCCATGGTACTTCCATAAAACTCTTAAATGTTGATGTTTTTCCTTCATCTTCTTGATTTTTAATTGTATAAGTAATATCAACTTTAGATTTATATTGAGCTAAACTATCATCCCATACAATTGAATTATTAGATGATTGATTTTCTAATGTACCATTACTATTAAAAGGTATACTTGCTGTTACACTCGAATTATTCATAAATAAATTAACTATGGATTTCTTATTTTGGAGTTTGTCAATTATTTCATCCATATTTCTATAAATTGGTGTTATTAATAAATTAAGTGTATATTGTTCAAAAGGTTTTAATTCTATTGGGAATTGTGATTTTTCTATAAAACAGTCAAATAAATCATAAATAGTAGAAGGAGGTGGTGATAATAAATAATTTGTTGTAGTTGTTTCATCAGAATCATTTGGCACTTTTTCCTCTCTTTCATTTACTATCATTAACTTTTGAGCTTCTCCAGGAGGTAAATAATTAAAGAATCTAGCATTTGTAAGGTTGAGTTCAACCTTTTCAATTTTAAGAGATTGATTTTCGCAAGTATTTTCTAGAACTAGTTGAATATAATTTTTCATATTTAGCAATTTTGTTTTTGATTGTAATTTGATTGATTTTCTCAATACTATAGGTTTACATAATGCACATAAAAATATTCTTGAAGGAATATATTGTAAACTTGTTTCATAAGAAACAAGGAAATCCAAATCGAAATTATTAACTTTGAAAGATGGTGATTTAGCATCAGCCAATGATCTAACCATACTATCAGTGAATTGATCAGAAGGAATGAAAATTTCTGAAATTACAAAGTATGGATTTCTATTAGAGTCATTTAGTGGAACATCAATACTAAATGGAAATGTAACTCTAAAATCAGTACTATCTTGATCCAATAGTTCAATCTCATTACATGTTAATTCCATAAATACACTTTGAGTATTCACAGCTTGCTTGGCAACAAAATTACTTTTAAATAAATAAAAATCAATAAATTCCTTGCTATTATCAAAATAATTAATCTCTATAGATGTTGCACTAGAACTAGATCCACCTGGTGTTGATGGAGTAGATGAACGAACACTTTCAGGAAATCTAGAAGAGATGTAAGTCTTGATATGTAATTTAGAAAATAATTCTCTCCAAACTTTCTTAGATTTAAATAATAATGATTCTCTTTGTTTTTCATCAAGTAAAATTAAATTATTTGATGGTAAATACATATCATCTGCTTGTGCATCTTGACTTTTATCAGGTTTAATATCAAAAATGTTTGCAAATGTTGTAAATAAATAACCATAAAGTAATTGATCAGCAATAGGGATAGTATTATTGGTACTTCCGAAGGCTGAATTTGAATTATTACTATTTGATGAAATATTACTTGATGCGAATGGTGCTGATAAAGGTGATGATAAATCCCTATCAATGATCAAGTTCGGATTTTGTTGTACTTGTTGTTGATATTTCAAAGCGAATGATGTATCAAATACATTACTAGATGGTTTTAAAATTATATTTCCTACTAATTTTCCACCTTCAAATACAACAGATCTATGAATATCATTATGAATAGCTGATGTAAATTCAATAGAATAATCCACAATCATTGGGAGTAACTTTTCAGCTCTAAGCTCATTTTCTGAAAATTTTCCTGCGAATGATGCCTGATTCACAGATGACTGAGGTGAAGAAGGTGGATGTGCTCCTTTCATTTTAATTTTTTTTAAAAATATTTTTAAAATAATAGCTATTATTTTAATAAACATTTTTAATTTTTTAAAATTTAATACAAATTTTCACCTATTTAATCAGACTTGGTTGTTGAATCATTAGAAACTCTTCTATTCTTCCTCTTCATTGGGTGCAAAACGTGAGCTTGAGCCAATTGTTGAGTCTTGGAAAGTTCCTTAATCAACTTAGCCTTCTGCACTTCATCCTTAAGAATTGGTTGAATGTGTTCAACAGATGCCATGAGACCATCATTGTGTTTATCCATGATAGCTCTATCAATAGCATATTCAACATCACCAGCTTCAGCGGCATTCATCAACTTTTGATCCATTTCCTTTTCAACTTCATCACTTTCTTCTTCTTCTTCACGTTCATTTTGTTCATCTTCAACCTCAGTTCTATCCAAATCCTTGAACCAAGAAACTTCTTCATTGCCCATGTTATCCAAGTCACTGGCTGGAAGATCTTCAATTGAGCTCAATTCAAGAATCAATTTATCAGCAGCGGTAGTATCAAATCCTTCCTTAAGATTAGCAGAAGCAGATTCGAACAACTTTTCAATATTTTCAATATTAGTCAATGGACGGAATGAAAGATCTTCCTTATCATCAACATTAATATCTTCCAATTCCAAGCTAGCCATATCAATAGCTTCAAATTCATCTTCTTCACCAGTAGAAGAGAATGATTCTTCAATACCTTGTTGTTCCTTTTCGGCATTCATCTTGAGCAAACCTTCTGGTTCATTGATATATTCATAAGAGTCGAACAATTGTCCTGATTGTGTACCAACTCTTACATTCAAGTAGGCCATATGGTCAGCATATACCTTGCTATTTGGATAGAGTGGATCTTCACCAACGCTTTCCTTTCTTAAAATCATTCTATCCTTTGTATTCTTCAAATGTTCGAGAGCAACTTCATCGTTAATACCATACTTTCCACTTCCAAATACTGTTGGAACAACGACACGAGCTGGGTTCAATTGGTTTTCAATATGTCTATCAATATTTTCAGGAGAGATGAAGTATTCAGCCTCAGAAGCTAATCTCCTCAAACTATCTCTTCTTTTACTTTGTTGAATAGATTCCCAGTTGATGGCTCTTTGTGCTCTTTCTTTTCTTTCTCGGTCGTGTTCTTCCTTTTCAATTTGCATCATTCTTTCGTGCATTTGCATATTTTGTATAGCGTTAGCTCTTTTATGTTTACGATAAATCAAAACTCTCTCTCTGTGAGAAGCGAATTCCTTTCTCGATTTTTCATCTTGTTGTTCCTTTGATGTTGTGTAAAATTGTTTATATTGCTTTCTAACATCGGTCATTTGTTCTTTGTGTTTTCTTTCACCGGCCTTAGCGTAACAAGCCTTTTGCAGCGTTACGTAAGGAATACATGTCTTGTTGGTGTGGTGTTGGACCAAAGATGAAGAGGAAATTCGTTTGATGGTTTTCAACATTTTTTTAAAAAAATTTCAAACAATTACAAAATAATAATGCACAATTTTAATTTTTATTAATTTTCAGTCACTTGCATATCGTTGATAAATCATCAATGATGTGAATAGATTTGCCACCGTTTTACTGTTGTTAATGCTAATTACTTTTCTCTCATGATGTAAATCGTAGTTTTGTGAAGAGGAACAAGGTAATTATCTACCGCTGCTGAAAGCCGAAGACTTCCAAAAAATGGCGCCCAAACTTTACAAGAATGTTTTATTAGACGTTAAAAATTTAATATTCCCTCTTTTTAAAAGCTAACACCCTTAAAAACAACACAAATACATCAAAAAAATACCAATACAACAAAATGAATCAAAATCAACAAGACTCACTCTACTGCGGAGAAGGAAATCAGTTGAGAAATAGGTATGTATTATTATCTAAATAAATTTTAATTAGATCAAAATTATCTAGACCAAGCATTAAGGTGAGGCAAGTACCTGGAGGTGGTTCTTCATACAATTTCATCACTGGTGTTGATGCTAACGACAGACAAAACTTATCTTCATCCCATTCTTCATCTTCCCAAATGTCTTCTTCTCCTCCTCAATCCAGCAATAGACCAGGTAAAAAGAGTCAAGAAGTAACTGGTAAAATCGGTGGTGCCACAACTCAAAATCAACAACCACAATACAGCTATAATCCTCAACAACCTCACGTCTCTAGGCAATCAAATCAAGAATCAGCTGCTTTATATTGCACAGAAGGTAATCAAGTCAGAACAAGACCATCTGTTAGAGTTGCTCAACAAAAGAAGGATCAAATTACTTTCTAAACCCCTGTACAGTATATTTATTCCCACAACACAAATAATGTATTATTAAGACCAATACAATTATTCCTTTTTATTCTCAAAAAATGGTTTGTAATTGTGTGACAGTTTTATATTTTTCTTTTTCATTAGTTCTTGTATCTTTCTATCGTTCTCTTCTTCTAGTTGTTTGTTTATAGTTTCTTCTTCTTGATGATCAATACTTTCTTCGGAGGGTTTGATATCCAAGTAGGTTTCGAAGTCAATCATTTCACCCTGATGATAATTAGTTATTGAAGGTTCAGTGGAACTCTTCGTGCTAGTACTTGATTGTTTTGTTATTGTATTGGTTGTTGGAATTGAGTTTATCAAGGCTTCATCATTTATTGTTCCATCTTCATTAATAATGATTAAATCACTGCTCCCTTTGAAAATCTTCTTCCTTGTTGACATGGTCAATTTAATTTATTTTCTAATTTAAAAAATGCTAAATCATTCTCCAAACAATGGAGGATCAAACAATTCCGAACTAACCTCATCATCTAAACAAAAACCAGAACCTATTAATATTAATTATTTGGAGTTATTCAAAAATGTAAAGAATTTTCTATACAATGAAGACATTTTTAAAGATTCCGATGAAAATATTATTAAACAAGGATGTGCTCAACATTATATTAAATTGGAAAGGAAGGGTTTTTCTCATTTCCCTGATTTTATATTATACAGTAAATCTTTAAAAACAGAATTGGATGTTTTGATTTTATCTCATAATGAAATTAGAGCAATTCCTCCTGATATTATTCAATTAGAGGCTTTGAAAATTCTCGATTTGAGTCATAATCATCATATTAAAAACTTTACCTACGAATTAATGAATTTGAAAAATTTAATTGGATTAGATTTGAGTTATAATATTATTGAGAGAATTCCTGATGCCTTTTTTGAAAAGATGAAGACTAAAATTATGGTATTAAATCTTGCTAATAATAATATTCATTCAATTAGTAACGGAAATTGGGCTGATTTTGCTAAAAAACTAATAGATCTCAATTTATCAGATAACAAAATTGTACATATACCAGATTCATTGTGTGAATGTTATAATTTGACATCGTTGAATTTAAGTGCAAATTTCATTCATCATTTACCATATGATTTTTACAAGCTGAGGAAATTAAAATATCTACATTTAAACAGAAATAGATTATCTGATTTACCAATGATTGAATATGAAAATGGCGATTTTAGTATATTTTATGATATGGAACTATTGGAAAATTTAGATATTTCACATAATTCATTGAGTGAAGAATACCTAAATGGTTTGGGAACACTTCCTAATTTGAAAAAGTATTCCTTTTCACATAATAATATTGTAACATTAACTCAAAGTTTTGGGATTTCCCACTCATGTAAATATTTACAAACTGTACATTTGTCAAGTAATTTGTTGGATGAACTGCCAACTATTTTGGCTGATAATTTAGGGAATACCTTGAAAGAATTGGACATTTGTAATAATAACATCTCAAATCTAGGAGATAATTTCCACAAATTTGTTGTATTGGAAAGACTTTTGATGAATAGAAACTTTCTGACAGAATTACCAGAATCTATTGGATCTCTGGTTAATTTAGTCGAGTTAAAAGCAAGTAAGAATGAAATTGAAAAAGTTTCTCATCTATGCTTCAATGAAAATATGAAAAAATTGAAGGAGGTAGATTTGGACTGCAATTTCATTAAAGAGTTACCTTCTTCAATATTTTTATTACCAGAATTGATTACCTTACGTATAGAAAAGAATCAATTACAATCTATACCAGATACAATTGTAAATAGTCCTAATTTGTATGGTATTTATGCTGCCTACAATGAATTGAAAGAGCTGCCAGAAAATATTGGGCTTTGTAAATGTTTGAGAAAAATACATGTTGGTAAGTACTCATCATTTTACTACAAATACTCACTCCTGAAAAGAGTATAACTTTTTAAAGAAGCTCCCTCAATCCTTAAAATTCCTTAAAACTCTCATGATTATTAATTTTGATAATAATTGTAAGGAGATTGTTGAATTTATGAAAAATCAAATTGAGCTAGACAATGCAGAACGGGAAAATATTCTGAAAGAATATACTACCCTCTATGAAAAGTTTCAACAACAAAGGCAACATGCAAATAAGAGCTTTTTTGGTTCAAGAAAAAAGAAGGAAGATTCTGATTGTTTCAAACATGAACTAAATAGTTCTGGATTACTCATTTCTTCTCCTCCTTTAGGAACAAGCAGTAACATTGAAGACGAAAAAAAGCAAGGTAAAACAAAGGAAGATGACGAAATGAAAACACCGTTAGAATTCATGGCTGAACAGTGTTTCCTTTCTGATATTCTGAAAAATACTAAGCAGAAAGAGAATTTGCAATGTAGGAGTCAGTAAATATTATTCAATCCTTTATTTCTTTTTCTTTCTCTTTGGATTTTCACCAATAGCATTAGCTAATTCTTCCAAAGTTGGTTCAAAATCTTTCTTACTGTGGAATGACCACTTTCTTTCCAAATCGACAGCTTTTCTTCCTTCTGGTGAAAACACTTGCACAATAATGTTACCAGCATCAACAACCATCCAATTTGTATCAGTTTCACCTTCAATAGTTGGTTTCAATTTAAATAATTTTCTTGCTGTAAGTTCCTTAATAACACTCTTTGCAAGAGTTTTCATATGACGATGACTACTTCCTGTTACAAAAACTAAATATTCAGCAAATGAACATTTCTCTGTTAAATCCATAACAACCAAATCAAGACCAAAATTTTTATCCAACAAGTCACAAACTTCCTCAATGGTTAACAATCGTTTAACTTCTTCTTCAGTTAACAATTTAAAAGAATCTTCAGGATATCTTTCAGAGAAATCTTCATTCAGTTCAACTGTTGGTATTTCAGCTGGTTCGACCAAATATGATTCTGATACATTTTCCAAGTTTGAAATATTTAATTCTGAAACACTTTCAATTTCTGCCTCCTCAACTCCATCATTTAAAATTATTGATGTATTTGGTGATTTTTTACTTGTTGTTGATTTCTTCTTTCTTGGCTTCTTTTCCACTTCAACTTCATATTGTTTTGCTCTTTGTTCATATTCTTCTAAAAGTGATTCAATTGATGATGACATTGTACCTTCCGATGCTGTTGTTGTTTTTCTTGTTACTTTCTTGGCATAGCTTCTTTTCAAATCCGCACAAGTAGAAGAATTTATCAAATATAATCCACTGCATTGACTATTTGCCAATCGGAATGTTTTTTGTGCTTGGAGAGTGCGAGAAGAAATTCGTGAAAGCATTTTTTTAAATTATTATTATCAATCAATTTATTCATCTTGCATTTCTTCTTCATTGAATTCTTCTTCTTCTTCCTCTTCTTCTTCTCCACCACCTTCTTCAGCTTCATCCATCAAATTGGAAATTTTGGAGGCTGTAAATTTCTTATTGGTTTGAACTAGGGAACCTAAGAGAACAGAAATAATATCACTCCTCTTTGATTTGTTAATTACTTTCACTTGAGAACCAAATATTGAGTAATTGGTTGGTTCATTGTAAGTTCTACAGGCAAATTCAAAAGCTCTGTTGAATGTTCTGATTTTTTGAGGGTTTTGATTGAGTCCACAAATATAAACCTTACTTTCTTGTTGTTTAATTAAGATAACATGAACTCTTCCAAAGAATTTGTTATACTGTTGAAATAATTTTAAATATGAATATTAGAATTGAAAATATTGAAGTACTAACCTTGACAAGTTTCATAAAATGTTGGGTTAATTGATAGAATGCTACAGGTGAAATAGGACTAGAATCAGTTAATTCTGTTTGATTGGCTAATAAATTTGATTGGTCAACTTGTGAAGAGAAGGCAAAATTGAAATGTTCAAGACTGATATTAGTTAAATCAATAGCAACAAATTCACGAGTGTGAGTATAGGATTTGTTTTCCATAACACTCTTGAAAATATCATTCATTGATTGCCTCATTTGTTTTGCTTTTGTAATACCTTGTTCAATCAAGAGTTTGTTTTGCTTTGCATTGATAATACTGTTTGAAATTGTTGTAAGTAATTTTTGTTGTGGAACTATTTGCATCATTCCAAGTAATGCAAATACGTGGTCACTTGCTGTCAATGAAAAGGATTGTTCATAAACTCTTTCAAATGAATTGAATACTATTGATGATAAGTTATATTGATTCTTCTTCTCTTTCACAGATTTTAAGAATGTTTCTCTTGTTTGAACAGGTAATGAAAGCCAATTTGATGTAACATCCTGCAGTGTGAGACCTAAATCAGAAATGAATAGTTTCATTGCTTCAATTCCAGTATTTTGCCATGTGTTAAAAGCTCTTGAAACTAGTGTTGAATTTAAACAGGCATCAAAAATACTCCAATGTCTCATCAATTCAATATTCAAATCAAAATAATTATTCTTAATATAATCAGCATCGAGTGGAATTGAAATACCATCAAATGATTTTTCATTTGATTTGTAAGTGTTATCTGAAGATAATTTAAAGTAATAATCTGGATATTCATTATCTGTAAATCTATCAAATAAATAATGATAGGTCAGTGATAAAATAGCAGCCCATCTCATTGAAATTGAAACAGTTTGTTGATCCAAGAATGTGTACAATAAGAAAGCAGAAGGCTTATTAAAACCATCACTATTGTTATATAGAATAACTCTTTCTTCACTTGTACTTGCAAAGTAATTATCATCCAAATCAGACAATACAGAGTCATTATCACTAGCCATTCTATCATCATCATCATCACCTTCCTCATCATCACTTCCAATATTACTTCCAACTTCATTCTCATCTTCATCATGTACAATGAAATCTTGCATTTCCTTATCATTGCGAAGATCATCGTCATCATCTTCAAAGTAATCTTCATTCAATGCTTCATCGGGATTATTTGTTATCTTTTCAACGACTAGTCTTGCTTGTTCATCAAATGTACTACTCGAAGAAAAGCCTCCATCATTTGCTTTAATAATTTCATCAACAAAACTCTTCTTTACAAAATGATATCTACTTTGTTTATCCTCATCCTTGTCAACTAGTAAATGTACATTCTTAACTTGTTGAAGTGTTGTAAATACATTGCATAAATAAAAAGGCCTATACGAATCCAAAACAAAAAAGTGTTTGTCTTGAAATTTATGGAAATCCCTATATTGACCACCACAATTTAACAAGAAGAATATTGTCTTGTCACTATTACTTTCAATATTTTGTGTAATTTCATCATGGTTGTTGACTAACACTGCTGCATAATTACCAAAGAAACGATCCGATTGATAAATACATGATAATATATGAAATGATGCAAGTGCATCAACATCAAGACTTGCTACTAGAAAAATAGTGTCTCGGACTGGTATTTCACTTATTACATCTCTAATCCCTTGGAAGGTTGAAATAAACGAGGAAAATTGTTGTGAATTTTCATCAGAGAAGAGATTTGACATTTTTTTTAAAAATTTGAATTTGCAAAAAAACGGTAATTGGCGGGAAAGCTTTTACTTCCGAATCCAAGAGTGATCCAACACAATTTATAACTTAGTCCCATAATTCAGATCAATTCCAAAATCCACCTAACCAAGATGGCACGATTAGAAGTGCAGTGCTGAGGAATGTAGCTCAGAAGGGAGAGCGGGCAATATGCAGCATCTACTTCCATGGAGCAACATGCTGCTTTGGAGCATTTGAAAAGATGTGATATTGTAGTATGCCTCCGCCATGTGGTGAAAATCACATGCGTATGAATAGGGCCAGGTCGATTGATCGAAGCAATCCATTCCTCAACATACCACTTTTTAAACTTTTTATTTAAGAAAATGGTCAAATATTGGTTGGGAATGAAAGCAACAACTTTAGCAATTAAATTGTATCAAGTATTAAGGTGTGTTAAGATCATTCTCTCTGGGTTGATTTTCTACACTAGTCACATTATCTACACTTCTATCAGAGGACTATTGTTAAGTGTTATTTGTAAATGATTAGTTTTTTTGTATCTCTCTCACAAACGAACATTTCACCATTCTGTTCATTAATTACAATCCCATAAAGACCAGTTACTTTGATTTCCTTCACAAGATTGAGTTCTCTATCCAATATGAACATTTGGCCATCATTATCTGTCAAATAAATTAGTTTCGTCTTTCTTTCATACCAAACTCCAAAACATGTATTAATCGTCACTGGTCCATTATCATTCGAATAACTTTTAATCTTTTCCCAAGAAGAAGAATTTAAATTAAATTTGAGAATGTGCAACTGATTACTTCCACAAACAATCATTTCCTCTTCTGGTGTGAAAACCATATCCACCATTTCATTACCCAATCCTACAGTAATCTCTGTTTTTTCTTCACCTGTTTTCAAATCAAATACATAAATTTTTGAATCATAATCAACTACATAAAGTTCAGTTTTAAAACATCTGACAGCTCAAACATGATCAAATCTAATTGGAACTTGAAAAATTGGTTCACCAAAACTCTTTTCTCTCAATATTCTTTTAAAATCATATTTTACAACATGATTTCTCCTGGTGGAGAGTATCAAATTTAACTGTCCTGAATTTTCCCTTTCAAAATCAATTCCATAAACTCCTTCACCAAAATGAATTGATTCTTGAACTGGTTGATGAGTGATCAAATCATAGATTTCTAAAGAATCATGAGAACCAGTAACTAAATAATTAAATTCCCTACAAATTGCCATATTAAAAGAACCATTTGAAATTGCATCAATTCGTCTGAAATTTTGTGAAAATTCCACAAGAGGAGGTGATTTAAATTTTTCTTTCAATTTTGTAAATAAATTCGGAGAGATTGGATGAAGATCAATCAGAGTGAGAGTTGTTGTTGCTGATGGTTCTTCCATTTTTTTATAAAGTTTTTCTTCCTTTTAAACTTTAAATTATCTCAGCATTTAAGGTGTTTGTTTTTGGACTCAAAAATAAAATTAATAACAGATGGCAAAGAAACTAATATTTTAGAAAGTTCGAATTACAATATTGAACACTAAAATAGATTCAGTTCTAGAGTGATGTTGTGAATAATTGAACTTGAAATTTCAACATGGCAGTGGAAGGTCCTATTTCAAGATCCCTTAATTTCAAAATTCAGTGTGAGGCACACAGTTCAAAAGTTAAGAAATGAAATAATGTTGTTAAAATACTGCTCAGTACTGATGATCGGTGAAAATAAATTGATTAAAAAAGGAAGGGGAACTTGTCTTACCTAATAGCAAGACATTTGACATTGAAAATGGAGCAACAAAAAAATGTCTTCAGGCAAATTGGAATATACCGTTGTTATTGTTGGTGATGGTGGTGTTGGAAAGACAAGGTAAAGTGTCAACAATATTTTCTATCAACAACTGACATTTTAGTTTAACAATTTATTTAACAGAGGGAAGATTTGAAGCAGAATACAATCCAACTATTGGTATGTTTACAATCCAATAATTATTTAACATTATTATTCAATTATTATTATTCAATACATACATATAATTAGAGGATGTAAGTTGTAACAATGATCGGAAATATATAATGCTGATAATTATAGACTTATCAGAAAATAATGAATATTAACAATGAAAGATTATTACTCAACATTTTGGATACTGCAGGTCAGGTAATTACATATTCAAAATATATTATTTTAATAATATTAATGAAATATAGGAGGAATATCAATTGGTAAGTTGACTATTGAAATGTGTAATTGTTAAAATTATTAGTTACGTGATCAACATTGGAGATCAGGAGATGGATTTGTCATGTAAGTTTATTAACTCGAGTTCAACACTTTACATTTGAATTTCACAGTGTATTTGATGTGACAAATAGGAAGACTTTTGAGGATGTGACAAGTTTTGGTGAACATATTTTGAAGAGTAAGGATGGAAATGAAGTTCCAATTGTATTATGTGGAAATAAATGTGATTTACCTGCAACATCAAGACAAGTCACTGAAGTTGAAGCTAAGAAATTATGTGAAGAAAATGAATGGTACTATTTTGAAACATCTGCTAAGGTAAGTTGACCAGTAAATTCAATAATAATTTACAAAATTATTATAGAAAGGAACAAATGTTAATATTGCATTTGAAACTCTTTGTAAAGGTATTATTGAATTTAATAGCACTCCAGCTAAGGAAGAAAAACCAAAAAAGAAAGGATTATTCTCAAAGATATTCAAAAGAAAGTAATGTACATAAGAACTAACTGCTCCAACAACTAGTGTAACATATTAAATATTATTTCAATTCATAATCATATCTGCTGAACTATCCATAAATCTATTGATCAATGTGGAATATATCATTCTTTCATCACCAATTTTAGAGTCAATGATTGGATAGGAAGTCAGATTGATGGAGTGAATTAATTCATATGGATCTTTAACTTTTTCTTTGAGGATTGTTACATTCATTGTGTCAAAAAGTGGACTAAACTCTGACAATTCTAGAAATACTGTTTTAAATCCCAATTCTATGGCTGGAACTACCATCTCAACAGTCTGAGTGCAAGTCATCATTCTACTTCCATGAATAGATGAACCATCCAAGACACAACAATCATTAGCTCTCTTTTCTTCAAAACTCATATCCATATCAAGGTCATTATTGATATAATACGCCTTCTGATACCCAACAAGACATAATGAAGGAGGCTTATTTGGAGATGAGTGATATCTAATCTTGGGAAAGAAGGTTGGATCCAATACAAGTGGTATCTCTTCTTTAGTATTGAAAAGAGCCAGTTTGGAAGCAAAATTTTTGTACTTCTTCGATAGCTCGCTACTTTCGAATAGAACACCATGCTTGATACTCAAACAGAAGACTCCAGAAATTGCAACAAAATTCTCTCTTGTTTTTGGTTTGTTCTGGAATGATTGAATCCACTGATTGTAAAATCTGTCGAGTGTTCTGAGAAAGTTTCCAACATAATCATCTTCAGGAAGTTTGTAAAGTGTCCAAAAAGCCTCCTGAACTTTCTCCAAATTAAAATTAACAGGCAAGGCTTTGAAAATTATCAAATCAATTACTTTAATCAGAATTTCGGAATAGTGTTTTTTCTGTTCATCATCTCTTGTTCTAATATGCCTCAATTCTAGGCTTTTTTTATTCTCCATAATAGCCTTCAAAGACTTTCTATCGAGTTTAGGGATGATATCATTATTGATGGTGTCTAGCAGAGTTGGAATTCTAGTATCTACCACATGTTGATTCCTTTCTGATAAAGCCTCTAAATTGGGAATCAATTGAGTCATTGTATTCTCAATCTTGTTCAATAATAGATCCATAGCTGATGATGAGATGTTGTGGTGTTTTTTTTGATTGTGTTGATAAACAAAATAGTGTACAAATGGAGTTATTTACAAAAGTTAGGCTTGTGTTGAAGAAATGAATTTATATAAATTCATCATTATACGAATCTACTTCATGTTTACACACAGCACAAATCTTCTTTTGAATGAGCCAATTATCAATACATTCCTTGTGGAAAATGTGGAAACATGGAAGAGTTCTTAATTCTTCTCCTTCCTCATAGTCGCATAAGCAAATTGGACAAGTTGTATTCGTCTAATCAAAATTCAAATATATATTAACATGTAAAATTAAATAAAACACTTACGTGAGCACCTTCTTGATGTTTGTAAATATGTGTAGGTAAAGTAGCAAGATATTCTCGTGTAAGACCTTGTGAAACAGGTCTAGATCTGGATTCCATGAGTTCTTGTAAAAAGTGAACTAATGCTGCGTTTCTTCCAGTATCTGGCGTATTCTCACCCTCATTTTGTTGTTGAGATTCTTGTTGTTCTCTAATTAAGGAATGCAAATATAAAACCATTAGAGGTGATAAGTTATTGTTTGTTGGATTTCCACTTCGAATAGCTCTCATTGCTTCGGAATTATTGAGAATATCTCTGACTGACATTGGCGGGTCATCACTTTCTTGAAGTTCAACATCGTTAGATGATTCACCATGTTGTCTTCTGTAATATCTATCAATAATCTTAGTTCTAAATGTTACCCAAATACAAATACAAAATAGAGGAACAAGAATTGGTATGAAAATTCCCAAATATTCAAACCATTTCAATTCTGACATTTCCCCATAATAGCTTATCAAACCAAAGCAAACATTAAGTGGAACACTACAAACTGCTGCTGTAATAGCATCCATACGGTTTCTAAGTCTTTGCTTTTTTTGAGTTTCATTCAAGTGGTGGTCGGTTTCATCTTGAATGGTTTCACCAGCATCATCTCTTCTTTTTCTTTCAACTCCATTATAGATAGTGATAAGGAATCCTGAAAGTGTCATGAAATTGTCATCTTTGATATTATTATTTCTGTTAGGATTTGGTGCTAGCGAGAAGGACTTTACAGCAAAAATGATATCAAATAATAAAATTGCTGTGTTCAAACAAAATAGAGGAATAATTGAAAATGCATAAGGTATATACTGGACATACTTGTCTAATCTTACTCCCAATAAAATAAAGAATGCAACAATACACAATAAAAAGCCGAATAACTCTAAAAAAACTTGAGCTCTATAATTGCTTGCACCAGCCATTAAAACTAAATAAATATAACCAGCTGCAAATTGAAGAGTTGCATAAACCATTATAGGAATAAAAATTGACATATAAGTTAGTGGAGTAAATTCATCTTTCCAATCCAATTTCAAACATAATAAAATAGTACAACTCAAAAAAACGGTCAACCCAACTAATAAACTGTATCCAACGAATCTATCAATTGATTTTCTCTTTTCTCTTTGAATAGATCTAACGGAACTATATAAAAGAGGATCAGCACTTCTAAATGTGACGCTATCTCTAGCAATAGTTTCTAACTGTGACCTATATCTTTCGAATCTTCTATATTGTCTATTATAATGTCTTCTCCATTTAATAATATCCTTTACAGCCCAAAATATTATTGAAGATAATAAGAATACAACCATGAAATATGTTGGAATCATAACCATTATCCATCCAAATACCCAAACAGGAGCTTCAAACATAAAACGTGCCTCTAATTTAAACAGAATGAGTGACAATTGGAGGAACAGGAAATAAACTGTATAAACTGAGTTTACAAGTCCAGTCTTCCAAAATGGGATTTTACTATTAATTTTGATTAGAAATTAGAAAATAAAGAAACAAACCTTCCATTAGCAATATGGAATCCATTCACTTCACTAAAATTTCGATGTCTACGAGAACGGGATGGTCGTATTCGGTAAAATCGTTGACCCAAAGCTAATCTTGTAGCCAACTCATTAAGAGGTTCTTGTCCTGTTGTTGTTTGGTTATTGTTATTACTATTATCACCTTCTTGTTGATCATTACTAGCTGATGGTTGTTGTGATATTTCTCTTCCACTATTATTATTATTCTCTGAAGAATTATTATTACTACTACCCGCTGCTTGTATTTCTTCCTCTTCATCATCACTTTGCAAATCATCAACGTCATCAATTAATAAATTATGACCATTACGTGTTGTTCTCATTGATGAATCACGATGATGCCGTAAGAGATCATTCAACGAGCTCGAACCAAACAACCCACTAGTCAAGTTGGATGCAGAGGAAGACTGAGACATTTTTATTTGAATTTTAATTTGTTTGCCTTCATTCCCCTTTTAGTGCGCACTCTATTATTGTTCCAAAATGATTCAGTGCACTGTGTTGACAAAAGATACTATGGTGATGGAGCGAGATGTACATATATTGAATTCTCTGGACAGAACTCAACACACAGAAGAGAAGAAAGTTAATACACTTGATTGTTGAGTTGTTTGTAGAATAAGAGAAATAGACAAGATTTGAAAGAGATGGTTGCTACCTTCAATGTATTTCAATTGCATCTATATTGTATTGTAAAGAATGCACAAATGAGATTCTTACAATGGAAGGAGGTGTAGTGAATTGGCGTGTACTAGCTACTTTTGTAACATCCGATTTTACAAAACTCAATTTCATACAACTACAGAAACTAAATTGGATTCTCTTGGTAAACCATTTTGAAAAAACAGTGTCATCAAAGTAATAACTGAATTAGTTAAATATTGGACAGATGAATTTGATTTTCACACAAACAAAAAATGTCATACCTTCGAACCCTCTCACTCTATGAACATTGGGATGAGTTTGTTGATGAAACTGTTAAAATGATAATTGAAGAGTGGTCCTCATCACCTTCCGTACGAAAAGTAATGCTCCTCAACGATAAAAACACACAGGAAAATAATAATTCGCCTGTTCCTGTGAGTTTAATTTTGGTCAATGAAGAAAATCAAGTGGTTTCACATGCTAAATTAATTAAATCACAGGAAAATGTTTATATCATTGAAACTGTTGTCACTCGGAAAGATAAAAGAGGTCTCGGATATGGAAAGAGAATTGTAGATGAAATGTGTTTATATTTTAAAAACAATTTTATTACTGATACATCCAGTACTTTGTATCTATCAACTAAAATACCTAAATTCTATGAAAAGAGTGGATTTATAACAAGTCAACCACCAGAGGCTTGTGGAAAAGTCTGTTCAAACCTCAATTCATCTCAAATTAATTCATTGTCTGCCATGTTATCAAAGAGAAATCAAACTAATTTACCTTTAAGCTCTGAATCCAAATCTGATGAAGTGTGGATGAAATGGATTGTTCAATAAAAGATAAATGAATTGTACAACCAATCTTATCTACAATATGTGTATCATATTCTCCATCATAATAATGTTTGTGTTCATCTTTGTATTCCAAGAGGAAATAGGTAGGTATTTTTAGAACACTCAAATAATTTTAAAAATTCATCTATTAAAAAATTAAGCTCACAACAGCTGCACCAATTATTGTATAAAAATGACGATCAAGGAGACTACCGATGCTGAAATGAAGGAATCAACTTCCCCAACTACTACTACTCTTTCACCAGAAGAGGAATTGGAATTAGTTATTAAAGGAGAATTGAAGGATCAATTAAAGTTAATTGCTAAATCAGCCCAACAAGATGATCTTGATAATGATAGAAAACAAATGAGAGCTTTTAGATTGTTCTACAACAAATTAAGAAGACAAATCACAGCCAAGTTGCTCGTTAGCATTTTGAAGGTAGGTTTTGAATTGATTCCGATCTAATATTTTGTGGATTAATCTTAGGAATTGAAATGTTCTCATATTGTTTCATATATTGAAGATACTATCGGAATGCAAGACGATGAACAAAAGCCAATCCCAGAAGCTGAAATTTATTTATGGCTTATTACAATCATCTTTTTAACTGATAAGAAGGAATATCGTCGTGCTTATACTTGTGCTCTTGATTGCGTGAAATATCAACAAACATTGGAAAAGCAACAAAAGTCTCGCTCTGTCAATTTCCTCTTCTCTAAAGTGTATTTTTATTTCTCCCTTGCTCATGAAAAGTTGCCAACCATTTCCAACAATGAATTTAGAAATATTTTGTTAGGAAGATTACGTAGTTGTACATTGTCTCATGATAATTGGAGTCAATTTGTTATTTTGAACTGTTTATTGAGATCATATTTACAAGACAAGCTTGTAGAACAAGCCAACAAACTTTTGAAGAATGTACCTGTAGATCAAACAATTGGACATGTTGACAACAGTCAATTGGCTAGATATTTCTACTACAAGGGAAGAATTCAAAGTATCCAATTGGAATATTCTGAAGCTTTCAACTCTTTGCAAACTGCTCTCCGTAAGGCACCAAGTGCACAACCAATCAAGAAATCTCAAGGTACTGAATCAATTAATCCAGCTAAACGTACTTATGGTGTTGGTAGAGGCTTCCGTATCCATACTAACAAGTTGCTTATTGTTGTTAGCTTGTTGATGGGTCACATTCCAGATCGTTCACTCTTTGTTAATACTATTGAAGCAACCAACGATAGTGTCACTTTGTCACAATTGAAGCCATATTATGAACTAACACAACAAGTTAGACTTGGTAATGTTAACGGATTTGAAACAATTGTTGAAAAGTATAGAGATCAATATATTGCTGATGATAATTTGACACTTATTAATCGTATTAGACAAAACGTCATTCGTACCGGTTTGAAGTCAATCATCAAAGCTTATTCAAGAATTTCATTTGCAGATGTCAGTCAAAAATTGCATTTGAATGATGTTGATATTAATGATGTTCAAGGTATTATTGCCAAGGCCATTAAGGATGGTATTATTGATGCCAAGATTGATGAAAGCACCCAAAGTGTAGATACAGCCAAGAATCAAGATGTTTATCAAACCAGTGAACCAGCTGATGAATTTGACAAACGTATTCAATTCTGTTTGAGTTGTAGAAGTCAATGTATCAAGGCCATGAGATATCGTGAAGAAAAGAAGAAAAAGCCAACACAACAAGACTCTGAAGATTCTCTTCATTTAGATATTGATGAACTTGTGGATGAAGTCGATGATGATGATATCATGGATGATTAAATTGTTAATAATTAAATACTCCTTTTGTAAATATTTTTCGAGTCAAGTTTCAAGGCTATTTTTAATTTTTAAAATTAATAAAAAATGATAACAAACAACGAAGAGGAACAAACACCAACCACGGAAAAAAACAATGAAAATATTGAATTAGAAGATGATGAACAATTAATTACCAGAGCAACGAGACAACAAACGCAAGAATATTTCCAAAAACATAAAATCTCGCAAATCATAAAACAAAAGTTAAATGAAGCTTTCAATTTAAATCATCAGGATCCGGTCGAATATTTATTTAGTACAAAGAGGATCCAACAACAAGATTTAAAATTACAACAACAAGAAAAAGAATTAAAGGAATTGACCAAAAAACACGATGAAGAACTCACTGCTCTTCAACAAAGTAAAGAGGCCTCTAGAGAAGCATTGATTGAACAAGAAAAACAACTTGTCGATCAATTGGAACAATTAAGAAAGGAACGTAAAGATTTGGAAGATAAAATTCAACAAACAGAACAACAAAAGAAGGTTAGAGATGAAAATAGAAAATATAATATTGAGCTTTTAAAGCAACGAAATGCAGAACTGTCTCAAGAAAATCAAAAATTATCGAAAGAATTATCTGTATAATTACCTAATTTGTATATTTAAACACTTATTTATTTCTTTTTCTTTTTTTTCTTTGGTGTTTTGGTTTTCTTTTCCTCAGATGCTGAAGCCTTGCTACTTGCCTCAACAACTGCCTTGTTTGTTGTTGTTATATCGGTTTTAAAGTTTTCAATTCCTTCACTGTGATTCTCTAAACAATTTGGACAAAACCATTGTTTCTTGCCTTCTTCTGGCTTTTGTGAATCTGTTAAGCATTTATCAACATGAAATCCACAATCACAATAATCACAAAATACAAGTGTCCCTTCATTTGGTCCCTTTCTACATTTCAAACAAATTTTACAATCAGAACATAACCAATTATCCTTATGAACTTGTTCCAAATGTTCCAAATTAGGTGTATAACAAAATGTGTGGAAATATGAATTACAAGACAAACACTGAATGAATTTGGTCTCCTGCTCAAAACTATTACAAATCTTGCAAAGCTTTCTTGTTCTTGGTCTACCACGTTTCTTTGGAATCTGTGAAAGGTCAGTTTCAGAAAATATCTTAGTAGATGATTGACTTTCTGTTTCAGTCTTTGGTGTTTCAACTACAGATTCAACTGTTGGTGCATCAGATACATCAACAGGTGCCGTAACTGTGCTTTCAATACTTGGTATGGTTTCCTCAGTTTGTGGAAATTCGTCTATCAATTGTATAAGAGCATCATTCTCGTCTATCATCTCTTGTTGTGGCTTATTTGATGAAAGAGAATCGATCACATCCGAATAGGTGTTTGAAATTCCTTCCAATCTATCCCTAGAAATTACTATTGTTGAATTAAGAGTTGGTTGATTTAGACGATTAAAACCAAACTCGTTAGCATATTCTGGTCTACTTTTACAATACATTTCCAAAATACTCTTAGTGTTATGAATATATCTTTGTTCTTGTTTCGAATTTTGGAAGAATTTGGTACAGTAACAAATTACTCTAGCTGTGTATGGACAAGCTGTATGGAAGTTAGATTTGTATCCGAAACTAGTCTTAACATTAGGGAATGATGACATTAGAAAAGGAACTTCCTCCTTTTGTCTCTTCATCAATTGTATTTCTTCCAAAGATAATTGCTTAGATTTTGTTTGATCTCCATTATGAACAATCGATGACGAATTATCATTCACATTAGATAGTAAATCTCCATTTATCATCATCAAGTCATCACCATGTGCAATATTGTTATTTCCTTCCTCCAAAATAATATTTGTTGTTTGAACGGAAGAAGATGTATCAACAACAGATGCAAGAACCTCATCGGCACTCTCATCAATTCCATTCAACAATTCATCGACGTCATTTTGATGAGAACGTGGCGGAGTTTCAATTTCACTCATTTTTTTCAACTTTACTTTTAGCGGTTTCTTGAAGAAAATGATCATTGTTATGTAACGGGATATGACTCATAGTTGTTTCATCATGAGCAATGCTCTTCTTGTATCAATTCGTATTGAATAAATGGCTCGACATTTTTTACTGGCTATGATAAGCATCAGGAGTTGAATTTTTAAAAAAGGCTTTCCTTCCCGTTCTTCCGGTGTTGTTGGGAAGTAAAAAATTGGATTTTTCAAAAATTTAATATTTTAAAAATAAAAAAATGTCAAAACCAGTAAAGATTAGAGCAGGTACAACAGCATTGTTAGGAATTATCGGTGATGAGGAAACTGTTACTGGTTTCTTGTTGGCAGGTATTGGTGATAATGATCCAAAGCATGCTGAAAATTTCCTTATCGTTTCCCAAAGTATGTGTGATTTTTTTGTTATGATGATATATATTTGTTGTGTGATGATATTTGGTTGACGAATTGTGAATATTATTAATGTTATTGGCATGAAATTATAATGCGGAAATAATGGACTTTTTACTTTGGATTTTAAAAGGTACTCCACAATCACAAATTGAAGAAGCTTTCAAAAAATTCACTTCCAGAGAAGATATTGCTATTTTACTTATCAACCAACATGTTAGTATTTAATATTTCAATTAATTTCTTACGAGTATAATGTATTAATTAGGTCGCTGAACAAATCAGATATTTGTTGGACAGCTATTCTCAAATCACTCCAGCTATTTTAGAAGTCCCATCTAAGGAAGCTCCTTATGATCCATCCAAAGATTACATCCTCTCCCGTGTTAAAATGTTCTTCTCCGATTAATAAATCCTTTCTCTTGATCTTTTCTTGTATTCAAAGTTTAGTTTATTTTGACATTTGATGTGGTAAATCTTGCATAAATTGGAGCAAATATCTCTAAATGTTTTCTTAATGAGTTTTTGATATTGGCCATATAATCTTCTTGTTGTGGAGGTGGTTGAGTTGGATTAGTTGGATCTGTTGTTGGGGGTGTAGTGTTGGCATTAGAAGTCTTTGTGCTTACAATGAAACGGAAAATATCTAATAGCATGTCAACTGCTTCTCTCGGTGAAACATAAGGAATAATTTCGTTAATAAGGTCCATTGGTTCCACAATCAATTCAGCTCTATAAATGATGTTAATGATTTGTATCGTTTTCATTATCAAATGTTTGTCACTTTCACTAGATCCAAAACCCTTATTATTTGATAATACTCGTAAATTCCATTCACCAATTACATTAGCAAACAAACTTATTATAGTTAGTTCCATATTTTCAAGTTCTATAAACTTCTTAGGATATGATAATGAAATAAAATCAATCAAACTGTACAAAATAGGGAATTTGTGGAACATCTTGTCTATAACTATTTCTCTTTCGGTCATTGGTTTCTTAGGTAAAGTTGTTATCAGTTGGGAAGGAGATTGAGCAGGATATTGCAACTTGAGTCTTTTCATTAACTGCTTGCCAAGTTGTAAGGTTGTCAAAAGGTTCTTTTCTGGATTTTGGGAGAATAAGCATTTGGAGAATAGGCTGAGAATATGTGACTTGTTAAGTTTGACAATTTCTTCATTATACCTGTCATGGTGAGAAGTGTCTTTCTTGAGATGGAAAGATCTATTTCTTATTTTAAGCTGTACATTATTTGGATTTACAAAGACGACACCTCTTGTTCTGATACCTGATTTATCATCAAGGATGTATTTCTTCTTATTGGTAGTGCTGGTATCGTTGGAGTTAATTTGTTTAACTAAGGATGGATGTTCCGATTTAGATGTTGATTCAGTGGTTTCAGTGTTCAACTCTAAACCTTCCTCTACATCTTTGAAGAGTATTTTTGTAATAAAATTCTTATCCTCAGATCTGATATCATCATTACTTAATATCTTAGAGTTTGTTGATGTTTCGTCAGGGAAAAAGTAGTTGACAAGTGATAACGCATCCTTGTGATAGAGCAAAGGATAGTTAATTTGTTCATGCACTTGTGTTGAAGTGAATACATTGGTTGCATGGAGTCTGGATTCCATGTGATTAGAAAATATTAAATCAAGGGTAAAATCAAAAACAGAAGAGGCAACTTTTTCAAATCTAGTGCACAAAGTTGAAACTATTTCTTTTGTTATACTCCTACATGATTCAATTATTTCCATTCTTCCATCGAAAACAATATACAACAAGTAATAGTAGTATAAAGTACTTGCAATATCACTATCAGGGTCAATAATGTTGTTAGGAATAATTTCATGAGATGCTTTCATTCTATTTCTCAATTGGTGTCTTCTCTGATGTTTAGTGGAGAAGGTAGGTTTAAGTAAAAAGAAATAGTAAGCAATCAGAGCTTGGGATAATTGATTGGCTATCATTTCTGGTATTGTTATGGAGGCTGTCTCTTCAGTGCTACGAATAATAGTTACTGTTTTTAAAATAGAAATAAAGGATTCGAGTATTAGAATAGGTAGGTCTTTGGCAGTAGGTGATGATCTAAAAAGGTATGGATACAACAATTGCCATTTTGTTATAAAATAATAACAAATTACGGACTTGTACTGAACTTCCTCATCTTCCATGTCTTTCATGATGTTTATCCAAAGACAAATATTTCTTATAACCATACAACAATTATCTTGTTCATTTGAATTGGTAATCTTCCATAACACTTTTTCAATAAATGGTTCATTGAAAGTGGAATAGTTCTTAGCAACCACATCATAAAGTTTCAAAAAAACTATTGTAACCTTTCCATCTTTTGATGAAATATCTTTAGAGAATGAGAATGACTTTAGAATATGTAAAAGGATGTTCGACGAAATTGCTTCTCCACCTGCTATACATAAAAGTTCAAGTAAGAAGAACCATATTGATTCGCTGATGGCATCCGATTGGATAGTAAATAACAGAATATCTTCGAAATGTTTCTGTAAGCTATTTAAGAATGTCAGAGAGTTCAATCTTGGAACTAGAGATGGTGAAACCTGTTGAATAGTATCTGCTGAATAATTGAATTCGTGGAGCTTAGAGGAGTAGAAAATAAAATCTTCTTGGAGTATCGAAACAACATAATTCAAAACCACAAAGAATTTGTCCCTAATGTAATGATCAACTTCCTCATCCTCAATAATGCTTTTGAAAAGCATTAGAAAATCAAAAGAGTGATCTCTTAGTTGATGCATATTTTCTCCAATAATTTCCAATAAAATTCCAAGACCATGTCTATCTGGTATTTTGAAAGGAAGAACGGAAAGCAATGAAATAAAACCTTTCTTGTTAGATTGCACCATTTCTAAAAAGTCTGGCAAAATTATTTTGATCACACCTTCACATTCACTCAATAGATAGAAAATTAGGGCAAATAGGATTTGCTTCTTTTCGTGGCTAATATTATGAATATCAAACATTATTTCCTTTACCATAGGCAGTAATAAACTCTTAAGTATTTCTGGAAATTTGTTACTCATATTAGCAAGAGTTTTCAGCTCCCTTTTAAGTATCAGCTTTTCCTTCATTGAGTCAAATATTGGAATATTAAATAAATTTTCTCTAGATTGGCCAAGATTTAGCAATGAATTAATTATTTCAAGAATAACTTTTGAAATAATAAATGGAAGGGATATAAAAGGATTTTCTAAAGAAAAATTTACAAAGAGAAAATCGCTTTCAGTAGAGTACAAAAAGTCCAAAAGAACTCTATGCTTTGAATAGATTTCTCTAAGTGAAGGACATAAATCATAATTTACAACTTGTCTCAACTCGTTAGGTATTATAATTTTGTTAAACTCTGATATTGTAGTTGACTTGTCGATTGGCTTAAAAATAAATTTCATTATGTCTAAATAGAGTTGGCACAGGTTATGAATTTCCAACTTATCTAAAATAGCTCCAGTTGTAATATTTTTGGATTCAAAGACCTCATTTGATGTTTTTCTCTTTTTTTGAGGAGGATTCAATTCGTCTGTAGTTAAATTCTCAACTTGATTCATGTCTTCTGGAGGAGGAGTATAAATGGAAAGGGTTCTATTGATTTCTGATATTATTTGTTGAGTTAAAAACTCTAAAACTTCTTTTTGGAAATTTTGATTTTTAGTGTTCTTAATTCTCAACTTTAAATCGCTTGTAATTGCTTTTTTAACAACATAATAATTTAGTTTCCAATGTTCATCCAATTGCTCGGATTGTTTGATTAAGTTTTCCATTCTTTGATTACGTGTTCTGTTGTATGATTGTTCCTTGAAGATGGATTCTTTACATTTTTCGTATTGTTCATAGTACAGACTCATCTGATTACAAAGTGTTTTAAAACTATTCATAAATTCATCATCACTGGTTTGATTTGTAAATACATCCCGAAGAGTCTGGGAGAGAATAGTAGGATCCACAATCGCAACAATTTGTTTAAAATACGTATAAGTATGATAATCTTGTTGCTTTGTTTTTGGGATCACAAAGATGGATTGAAGTTTTGCCTGATGATCCATCATCACTCTGTTGCAATCAAATAATTTATTTTTTTTTCTATTTATTTTTCAAATTATCATCGGCTTGAAGTCCTTCACAGCAGTGAAGAAGGAAGAATAATTATTATTTCGACTCCAAACTACTATTGGATTGTGATTGTTTAGAGAGTGGTGTTCTGATTTTTACAGTACACCTTTTTTTCCATTTTGTTGGTGTGTCATCATCGCTTTTTCTCTTGTTCTTGTTTGGGGAATGGTCAACAAACGATGGTGAATACTTTTCTTCCTTTGGCTCTTCTTTTGGTGGTGGTGTGAGAATAATAATATTGGTATCGTCTGGCGATAGAATAATTGTGTGAATAGAACTGTCTTTTGTTTCCTCCTTTTTAATTGGACTAATAGCTTCCAGACCTCCATCAAAACTGTCTGTGAATGAAGAATCCACAAGGTTAATGGTGGTAGAATCACTCTTTCTCTTTGGAATGGAGAAGAATGCAAGATTGGGAGTTACGGTTTTTGTCTTTAGCTGCTCTCGTTCTTTTTCTTCCTTAATTATAGAATTAATTATTTTTTCCTCGGGTAATGGATTCGTCCTATCAATATTAGAATTATATCGTAGAATGAATTCCTTAATTCTCCAAATCATTTGTTCTCTGGTGCCATGGAGAGGTAATGAATATTTCTTCAAATATTCTTTGAGTTGATTGTTTTTCAATAATGAAAAACAAAGTGGTGGAAGTTTGCTTTTTTGAATTTGCTCGTGAGTATGTTTGTTGTTTTTAAGTTGTTCAGACCAGTCGAACGATTCTTGACTTTCACTGATTATTGATTTTTGATCTTCTCTCGTTTGGCTTATTTCCTGACTATGATTTCCAAATTTTTCCATAAGATCTTTCCTCGCTCTAATATACATATCCATCATATCCGAAACAAAAGGTATTTTAATGATATCACTCTTTGAATATTCCTCTTTACAGACAGGACATTTGTTTCTAAATGAAAATTCTCTAGAAATACACAAATCACAAAAGAAGTGATTGCATGTTTTTACACATTTTGGATTATCCATAAATTCTTTACAAATAGGACATTGCAAACTCCTCTCGAATTGTGACATTGAAGGAATACTTGACTCCCACCAATCTGCATCGGAAGAGTCCTCAACAGAGAGCAGTGGATGTTTTGACATTTTTTTAATAATAATTAATTTTCAGTTCTTGCGCTTGATCGAACTCCAAATCACTGGTCATTTCGAGCATGAAGAAAATGGCGCCTAAATTGTAGTGTAACAGAAACCCTCTACAGTTTTCAAAATCAAAAAAATGCAATATTATACAACACAACAACTTCAAGGTCATACAACCTTTAAACCTCACGTTAGAATCGGAAATTGGAATGAGGATATTGAATTAATGAACGAAAAACAAAAAGAATTAGAAAGAGCTAAGGATGCTGGTTTGCTTCCTCATCAAGTGATGGAAAAAAAGTTGCAACATCACATGGAACCAGTAACAATCAAATTTAATGAAGAAAAACAAATTAGATTCGGAGATATTGTTATGATAAAAAGTTTAAATACAAATGGGTACTTGTCAATGGATTTGGATACACAACTTCATCATGTTCACGATAGATTTGCTTGCTCCACTTCTCCTTTGGTTAATTCGCCAGTGTCAAGGAATTGTTATATTGTCGAAAGAGTTGAGAACGATGTCAATATCGATATGATCATTCCTGATGAGGAAAGCCATTTACTTCACTATGGGCAAAAGTTTAGATTGAGATGCGTTCCTCAATTTAGTGCACCTGTAAGTATTCTGAGTTCTTCAAACCTTAAAGATTAATCGATTATGCAGCTCTTTTTGAGATCAGAAAAGGCCTCACCAACCTGCTTTGCTTCAGGAACTTCAAGCGCAGAGAAATGTCAAGAAGTTTCTGTTGACAAATTGTACACATATGATTCTGTTTGGAAATTTCAATACATCCACAAAGGATTTAGACTTGAAAATGAAGGACAAGTGGTTACTCTTGATGATCCACTGATTGTCACTCACTGTGCAACAAATCAATGTTTGAATTCTACAAAGAAAACAACTGTTTTGAATGATTTTGGACAAGAATTCCAAGTTTTCTGTAAAACCATGTTAACCATCCACAAGACTGAAGATGTATGCAATCATTTTGTTTTGACACAAGGAGGAAAATAACACATCTTTCATTTGTTCATAATAAATTAGGTGGCATGTTTATATATTTACAGAATGGTTTCTTTTGGTGTTGTTGAACTACTAATAACTATATCTGGTGATTCAACCTTAATAAATGGTACAACTACTGTATTATTAGATAAAGAGTTTGGGATTTTGATGGGATTCAATTTCTTGGGTATTAAAAGTGAATTGTTTTTTGTGATTGTAGGAGTTGACATTGAATTTTTCGAACGTTTGATAGAGGTAGTTGGGGTGTCATCCTTATCAGCATCAGATGTTGTAGACCCTTCCGAAGAAGTAGTTGGTGTTTCTGCATTATATTTTTCTCCAGCCTTAAGGAGCTCATTGCATGAGGCATATCCTCTCATTGGTTTCAAATCAATCTTATTAATTTTTGAATTATAGTTAACACCTCCATTAAGAATTGCTGATGATTTTGTGTGTTTTGATGAGGAAAAGTACTCTCTTGGAGACATTCCTGCGGGTAATGTTATGGCATCCCCAAGAAGTGATCTCTTCAACATTTCAGCAACTCTTTCCAACTGTTGATCATCCATTGTTGCAGATGGGGGCTGTTGATGCTGACTATCATATCTATATTGATTGTTGAAAGAGGCGGTATTGCCCATGTTTTTTTGTTGGCGCAAAAACCTGATAGAGTTCTCACAAGTAGACATCTTAATATGGATCAGGCTTAGTTGTTGATAATGTGAGAGGAAGTTGCTACAATTGTGCAACAAGCCCATCAACGGAGGTGCGGTTGAGATTTCGTTTCAAATTACAGCCATTCAGAATTGGTTTTTGGAAACCTTAATAAAAAATTGTGTCCGGTGTTGAATTTGCAAATAAGGTTTCTGTATGGACATGTCCATACAGAAATTCAACTTAAGTTTCCAAACAGTACGGAATATCCATTGTGCAATCGATATGAAATAGATTTGAATAGTGATAATAAATCATTGTTTTTCATGAATTAATATTTGGTTTTACTTTTTCTTTGTTGTCTTCTTCTTTTTCTTTGGTTTTTCAGAAACGGATGAATTGAATAAGGATACAGATTCTTTGCTCTTCTTTTGTTGGAGTTTTTGTTGTTTGGCAGCAAATTGTTTGGCAGCTTTTTGGTTATGATTTGACTTGTTCAAGAAGGATGGTTTGGACACACTACTGGTGTTCTTATGGCCTTTTTGGCTTCCTTGTTTGGATGTTGATGATTGCATGATGGATAACAATTCTTGAGAGTTTGAAAATGAAGAAATTGAATCCAAAGATGGAGTAGGCATCATTGATGATGGTTCATCATTGTCTACGAGAGATAATGATTGTTTTTCAATTTCACGTTTTCTCTTCTTGATGGCATTTCTATAAGCTTCCATTTGCTTCTTTTCAGCTTCCTTCTTTTTCTCCTCAGCTTCCTTTCTTTCCTTCCTTTCTACTTCCTGCTTTGTATCAGATTTTGATGTGGATGGGATTGCAATCTTTGAAAGGGTCATATTGAGAAGTTTAGAACCTCTGGATGAGAATTGACCATAACCACCATCCTTTCTTTGTAATGTTTTAAGATTTTCTTGATTCTTTTCCAATTGTGCAGCAAGTTGTTTTGGTGTTAGTTTGGCAGAGACAATCTTCTTTCTTCTTGCCCCTAATATGTCATATTCATCATCGTCATCTCCTCCAAAGCTCATCATGGACATGGTTTCATCTTCCTCTTCGTCTGAAAGACCGGTAATTTCACTTTCTGCTTCTTCATTTCCATAAATGTCTTCTGCCTCTGGATCAGAATCAGAAAATGTGACAAAGTCTCCAATTTCTTTTTCAATTTCCTTTTCATCCATATCGTTCAAGTCATCGAATGTCTTATAGTCCAACACATTTCCTTCATCATCTTCTTCTTCGCATTCATCTGACATGTAGGCTTGGGCTGCCTTAGCTTCCTCTTTCATATCATCAATATATTTCTTAAGGGCCATCTTTTTCGCCAATTCCTTTCTTTCTTGCTTTTCCTTTTCTTCTTCAGTAAGCTCAACTGTTTCTTCCTCTTCCTGTTCAGAACTCTCTGCTTCATCTTCTTCAGCAGGTAAATCTGTGGCAAGAGTCATAGTTTGAGGAAGTGGTTCATTAAATGTATCAGTAATGTTGGTTTCTTCAGGTTTATCCACAACATTATCTGACTCATCACCCTCTTTCTTTGATTCATCACCTTCTTCATCAGTAGTGGAAACTACTTGTTCTCCTTCTTTGGCTTCTGTTTCATCTTCATCATCTTCATCATCCTCATCTTCTTGATTTGGTTCAAAATCTCCATCCTCATCTTCATCATCATTCATTTCTGTTGGTAACATTGCTCCAGGTTTCAATTCTTTAGTAACAACCAAATCAAAGTCATCATCGGATGAATCGTCATCATCCTCGTCATCATCACCATCCATAGCATGTTTCAATGTTGACATTTCCTTATCATCCACAAATTTATCAACTCTAATTTCTGGTCGTAAAGGTCTTTTGTGACTTAAATGGTCAATTAGAATTAATTCGAATTCAACACTACGTACCAAGCAAAACTATTAACAATTGGCCCCAAGTGAGTTAAAATTTTAGGAATCAAATCATCCAATGAATTGATATATTTTACAGGTCTTGAGGGTAAATCTTCATCAATAGTTTTGTTTCTCTTATATTGTGCATAGACTGCATCTTCCATATCTTTAACTTGCTTTTCCTTTTTCTTTGATTTGTTTCTGGATCTCTTCTTTCTACCCTTGGAAGTCTTTTCACTCTTTTCGGTTGTTTCTTCTTCGTCTGCTTGTTCTCCATCATCATTGTTGGTAGTTTCTTCTTCTTCATTTGTTGTTGATTTTCTTTTCATTGATAAGAGTAATGATTCATCTACTGGTGCTGCATCATCATCTAACAGGGCATCCAAATCATCAAATCCTCCCATCGAAACTCTCATCTTGGCCAATTGTTTAATTTTCATCACACTATCCAAATCTATTTCTTCCTCTTCATCAAATTTTACATCACCACCATCTTGTTGCATTTCCTCATCCTCCGAATTTTCGTGATGATTATTTGTTTGTTCCATTGTTATTGTTGTGGAATCTTTTTTGTGGTATTTTTTTTAATTTATTTGAATGATAACAGTTGGAAAAGGCGGGAAAGAAATTGAGTCTAACTATTCCACATTGACAATTACATGACTAAAACAATTTCGTGGAAAATTTAAAGATCAAAATCAATATATCAGTATTTGTCTTGATGATTTGAAACGAAATTATTATGACGCTTTGTTTCAGTTCATAAGTATTTTTTGAAATATTTGAAATTATTTAAAAATCTTAAAAATGTCGCAACGATTGAAACCTTTCACTTCTGTGACTTTTAGTAAATGTTCGGATGTTGAGAAGGCTAAGCAACATCTCCGAGAATATAAAGCAACAGGTGGCGATGAATCTCTTACAAGAGAATACATCTTGAATCCTTTTATTTATGAGCCTTTGATGAAGTTTGTTCCAAAGACTCTTGCGTAGGTTTTAATAATTTATATTCGGAATGATGACGATCGATAATTGTGATAATAATAATGAAAACAGACCAAACGTTATTACATTGGGTGGATTTATGTGTTTATTAATTTCTGGAATTTGTTCTTTTATTACTTGTCCAACTTTCACAGAACCTGTGCCTTCATGGGTTTTTCTTATCAATGGTATTGCATTGTTTTGGTATCAAACATTGGATAATATGGATGGAAAACAAGCACGTAATACTGGAACAAGTTCACCTCTTGGAGAATTGTTTGACCATGGTGTTGATGCTTTAGGTAGGTTGACCAACATCTTTTTGATTTGTTTACATGATCGAATAGCTACTACTATTTGTGCCATTTCATTTTTGTGCACATGTGGTCAAGGTGCCTCAATTACTTCTTATGCCATTTGTCTGATTGGTTATGTTCCATTTATTTTTGCTACCATGGAGGAATATTATATTGGAGGATTATATTTAGGAAAGATTAATGGACCTATTGAAGGAGTTTTAGGTTTTATTACAATTCAATTTGTTGGATTTTTATTTGGTTATGAATTCTTCCATAAACCAATGCTTGGTCCAATTCCATTTTGGGTTTTATTCACAGTTCCAACTTTCTGGTAAGTTGACCTATTCGAATCTATCAAATTTTTGACATTTTCTCTAGTGCAGCAATGTACTCTTCTGCTGAAAATGTTATGAATATTATCAAGAAGATTAAGAGTAATAAGAAGGCTCTTGAGGAAAATAAGGTATCTGAAGCTGAAAAATCTTCTCCATGTTTTGAAACTGATGTTGTTAAGGCATTCCTTCCAGTCATTCCATTCGGTATTTTAATTGGGTCATACTTTGTTATCTCAATGGTTGATCCAACTGTAAAGAGTCATCCATTTGCATTCCTGATTAGTATGGGATTTGGATTTGGATATTTGGCAAGTAATTTGACACTTTCATTCCTTCTCAAGAAACCACTAGCCACTTCTTCCTATATGTGTATTTTACCAGCTGTTTATTTGGTTAACACGCTATTAGGATCAATTATTCCTGGTCATATTTGCTTATTTGCCTGTTTGATTGTTTCTGCAGCCATTTATGTAAATTATGTTTTGTCTATTATTGATGATATTTGCAATGCATTGGGAATCAACATGTTCTCAATTTCTAAGAAGAAACAATAAATTCAAACAAAACATCTGAAGAAACTTTTACTCTTTTCATTTTCTTTAGCATTCAAAGCAACATTTTCAAAAATGTCTTTGGATTCAATGATAACATGTTCTTCCTTGATTGGTTGAACTAGATCTGTGTTGACAATTTTGAGTCGTTCACGAATAGCTTTTTCTATTACTGATACAATAGAGGCTCCTGTTCTAGCTGAACAAGTTGCCTTAAAACAATTAGTTTTTGAGGAAAGGTTTTTGAATATCTCGTTCAATTGTTTTTCATCAACAACTGTTGATGGAAGATCAATCTTATTTCCTAATAATACACAATTAATTGATGAAAGATCCACAACTTTCTCAACTTCCTTTATCCAAGACTCGATATGCAGCAATGATTCCACCTCTGTACAATCATACACAAATATAATTAAATCTGATTGTCTATAATATGATTTGTGTATTGTTCTAAAGCGTTCCTGTCCAGCTGTATCATATACTGTTTTAAGGCAATTTATATTTAGTAATACGATCATCATACTGAGTACTAGAAATTATTACTCACTCGTTAATTTTACATTCTTTTCATCAAGCTTTACTATTTTACTGACAAAATCTACAGCAACTGTCGAAGCTACTGAAGAAAATGTATCATCAATATATCTTTTAATAATACATCTGTGTGCATAAACGCATTCAATAACAAAATTCCGAAAAATCCAACACCATTCAAAACAAGGGTCGATTAGAGCAATGTATAAAATAATGAAACTTTACGTTTTACCAACGCTCACATCTCCTAAAAAACAAACTTTCAAAGAAATATCATAATCATCCTCACATTCCAATAAGGACATTTTTTTTTATGAAATCTTGTGCGCACTCTGAGTAATAATTCACTAACTGGATTTTGAACAGGCCACAGCTCAGCAAGTCAACCAAAGATTTTAAATCACTCTCTCAAGAAAACCTTAAAAGTGATGGGCTTAATTTTGAAATTTAACCGGACTTTGAAGATCTTTTTTCTGCTGAAATAGTTAAATTTTTCATCCTAACCAACCAATTACACATTCAATTTATAATCGAATAAGAATATATATTAGTTTAAATAAACATAAATAATAACACGTGTTTTGTTTTTATTAAAATCTTTAAATTTTCCAATTTTTTACATTAATAAAAAAAATGGCTCCACAAACATCAGCTAAAACATCATCTTCCGAATTAAAAAATCGGAAACAAGATTTGGAACAAATTAAAGATGATGAAATTGAAATTACCAGTGATGAAGAGGCTGAACTCTTAAAAGAGGAAGAAGAAGAAGAAAAAAAGAAAATGTTACAGGCTGGATACAAGCCTCCACAGTGGACAGAATCTTTTTGGATTAAATGTTTAGGTCTTGCATTTCCAATTTTGCTATCTTTAGGAGATGTTGTTTTATTTGTTTTTGAGTATTTATTTACTAACACTATTGTTCAAACCTTACTTGCTTCCGTTTCATTCCATAAATATAGATCATTTTCATCTATTCACAAGTGTGATAGTTGTAAAATTAATTTGGATTTGAATTCAACTGTCACAACCAATACGGAAGCATTTTCAGCTTTTAATGAAGTCATGAATATGGATTGGAAGTCTTGTTTAACATGTGTATTTTCAGAGGATGCATCTTTAATTATGCTCAACTTTTTATATGTTGCTGTTTGGTCATTCTGTATTTGTTATTATTTCACATGGAGATATGGTGTTAAACTTGGTAAAATTAGAAAGCCAAGTGCTAAAGCAATTTTAGTAATTTTGACAATAATTATCGGAATGGTTTTGTTGGTTTGGTATCAATATCAAAATAATGAATGGATTTACTCCATGTCTAATTTTACTGCCATTAAGAGAGATACTAAAAATCCATTTGGATTCTTTGGCAATGAAACTGAAATTGAAGCACCAATCGAAGATGATATTACTTCCTTTGTTAGTGAAACAGAAACCATCAATACTACAATCCCAAATCTTTTAGAACAAGAAGGTACTCAAGTAGACTATCTCAAGATGATTCAATTAATGATTGGTTCTCCAATTGTGGAAGAAATTATTCTCAGAGTTGTACTTGTCCATATGTTCTTTAGAAGAACTGGTAGACCAGTTGTAAGCTTTGTAATGACTAATACTTTGTTTGCAGTCCTCCACATGTTTTCAGTCAACTGGGGAGCATCCTACGTGTACACTTATTATCAAGTTCTTGCTGGTTTTGTTTTGGGAATGTTCTACAGTACTAGATATTATTTGACAGAAAACTTGGCAGAAAATGCATTATTGCACATTGCTAACAATGTCTCTGCAATCTTCTTGCCAGTTACCTTAACATTTGACGACATCTATCCAAAATATGTTATTCCAGGTAAGTTTTTGATTTGGAATTAAGATTTAACCCTCAATTATTAGTTGTTTTGTCATTTGCTTTCTACATTGTCATGTTGATTTTGGATCTCAATAAGGTAATGAATATGCCAACAAAGCAAATCGTACCAGTGATTGTTGAGGAAAACAAATCAACTTCCACTCCTCCAACAACCTCAACAAATAATGAGGACAAAAAGAAGAAATAAATTTTAATATTTATAAATGACTCGTAATCTTATTCGAAACTCAGTTATTGATGAAAATGCCACAGATCAAAATTTTAAAGCATTGCACAAATAGTTCAACATTCCAATATAATATTTCAACTTTAAACTTAATGTCTCCAACTATTTAGGGTTAGAACTCAATAGTAAAATTAAAAAACTTACATCTTCAACATTCTGTCCTTACCACCAGAGGCAGCTTTATCACCACCAGGAGACCAATCGACAGCAAAAACTTCATCGTAGTGACCAGGCATATCATTGAGAAGTTGACGTTTTTGAACATCCCACACCTTAGCAGTCGAATCCTTACTAGCAGAAAGTAATAATCTAGAGTCACCACTCCAACAACATTGATAAACAGCACCAACGTGACCTCTCATACTACATAAATATTTACCAGTTTGGGCATCCCACAATTTGATTGTCTTATCAAATGAAGCACTAGCAATAAGTCTACCATCTGGTGAAAATTTAACTTGATTGACAACTCCCTTGTGACCAGTTAATCTAGCAATTGGTTTATCACTCTTTGAAGGTTCCCATAAAATAAGAGTATTATCATCTGAACCTGTTATTATTCTAATTGGTTGAGAACCGAATGTCTTATTGTACAAGCTCAATAAATCTTCCTTTCTCTTATCAACTTCTTCTTTAGCTTCTGGGAGAGGTTCACAATTGTGATCAAAAGCACCTCTTCTTAAAAAGTATTCAGTACTAACAGACATGGTATTAACCCAGTGAGCATGTCCAGATAAAACTTGTACACATTGTTTAGTATCAGTATTCCACAATCTAATAGTACAATCCTGAGAACAACTATACAGAATATCATTCAAACCCCACATAATTCCAGAAACACCTTTTGAGTGACCAGAAAGTGTAAATTCCTTTTGTGTCATTACTGTATCCCAAATAATAATTGTACCATCCTTACTACAACTTGCCAATCTCTTACATGCAGTATTTTTCAAAAATGGTTCCCAACTCAAACCAGTAATCCACTTTTTGTGACCTTTCAATACTTTTCCACACTTTTTACCACTATCTCCATACCAAATTTTAATATTGCAATCTTTACTACCACTTGCAAGTTTTTTAGCATCTGGAGACCAAGCAACACATAAAACCCAACTTTCGTGACCTTTAAGAGTATGTTGTGGAGTTTCAGTATTCAAATCCCAAATTCTAACAGTATTATCACCTGAACCAGTTGCTAATTGTTCACCATTTGGAGAGAAATTAACAGATAAAATAGCTTCAGAGTGACCTTCAAGTGTTGAAGTACATCTACTGACAGGTCTAACTCTAAACAATGCTTGAGGATGATAGACAATCTTTAAAGGAGCATCTTGTGTTGATGCAAAATCAAATAAATCTTGTCTCTTTTTCAAAGCAAGTTGATTTTTAGAATTCAATTGTTCTGTAAGTGTTGCCATTAAAGTATCTCTAACACTTGCTTGAATTTCTTCACCATTCACAGAGAAGGAATATGGTAATTCTTCTGTATTATCAAGAAAGAGGTTACTATTCAAAAGTTGATTTAATTGAAGTTTAGACATGTTAGCATCAATTTCAACTGTAGTACCAGACTTTTCATCATCAATTCCACTCACAAATTCAACAAAATATCTTCTTTCAGATGCAATACCTGTGAGTGTTTCTTCCGATGAGGTTTTTAATTGTTTTGCTTGATTTTCAATAAGATCACCCGATGATGAAGAGGCCTCATTTGTTGTCGATGTTGTTGTTGCTTCGGAGAGTTTTCTCTTCTGTGCAGAGGATTTTTTAGCATTCATTTTTTTTATGAATTATTTTTTGATGAAGTTCAAAAATAATTATTATTTGTTTTAATCATTGTTTCAAAGCAGCTTTGGAAAGATGGAAATTTGTGGCTGGAAAGAGTATGTGAAGGTTGTGAGTAAGAATTCTAAAGGATTTATGGAAGGGTTTACTGGTTGGGATGGGTTAATGTACATTAAAGATGGTGCTGGTGGTTAATTTTGGTTGGAACCATCGAGTTGAGCGAAAAAGACTTGAATGAGGTCAAGTTCTTCCTTGGTGAGGTCTGGATGGTTAATGTCAATTAAAAGGACAACTCGAATATCACTCAATTCTTCTCTTCTTTTTTGTTTGATTTCTTCACTAGATAGTTCTTTTGGTTCATCGAGTTCTATATTTTCATTGTTGGTGGAGGAGAATAATTGCTCATCCTGATCGAGGATTAGATTGTCATTGGCATCCTTGTAGATTACTTCATGAACGAAACTATCGTCGAGAATAATTATTTCACCTTCATTATATTGTCTTTCTACATTTTTAACTTTCATAGTGACATGATCATTTACAATTAAAGGTAATTGAATTCTCAATTTAATATTTGATACACCACAATGCGGTTTAATATGAGTACCCTTATGAATAATACTGAAATAGACATATCCAATATTTAATCTACAAATTCTATCATTAAATCCTAAAATATCTTCAATAATATTTGTTGTGTTTGGAAATAATTTACAAATTTGTTCATCAATCTTTCCTTGATTGACCAAATAAATAGCATTCCACTGTCCAGTAACACTACTTTTAATATTATCAATATTCAAATCATCAATATTTAAATAATTGTTAATAAATTCCGATTTAATATCTTCAAAATAAGATTCCAATCTCAATTGAATATCACTATAAATACTATAATCATATTTCAATTCATAATTATGATAATTAACATCATAATAAGGTTCATCATTTCCGATATGTGGATAGACAAATAAATTTGGATATCTCATACTTTGATGTAATCGATTGGAATTAATCAAAAATTCATATAAACAATAAACAAGCCTCAACTTGGTCCTCTTCAATTCTTCAACAATATCTGGCAAGGAATATTCCTCCGTTAATTGTTTGATCATCATTTCTTTACAGGCATTAATTTCTTCGCTCGAAGGAGTACACTGATCAGTATTGTCCTTTGATGGTGGAGCAGTGGAAGATGAGGATGATAACATTGTGGAGCTATTTTTTCTTGTTAGAACTTGGAACTGGAGTTTGCTTATGTTCTTATTTAATGAGGGATGAAATATTGTAAAGAAAGTGATCATTTCACACTCAAAAAGTCTTTCAGAATTGTCTATTTTTATCAGTCAACATTTTCAGGTTTAATATATCAATTTATTAGGGATAATTATTATTAAAATTTAAATATTAAAAAAAAATGATGTCAGCAACAAGAAATCATCATGAACCACAAAATAATGAACGACAGTCGTCGGAAAGAGTCTACCGTAAAAAGATTTTAGATGCTGTCTTGGAGTATTATTCAGAGGCTTTTTCTATAGAAAAAAGTAACGAGCAAATTAAAACGGAAATGGACCTTTGTTTACCGAAAAATGTCTGTAAGCGTATTTCATTTAAATTATTGAAAACAGGAGTCCAAAAAAAAGAAACAAATATAAATTCCATTAGTGAGAAAGTTTTGAAAATTCCAAAAAAAGAAAAGAAAATTGAAAATCATGAAGAAGTGCTTCTTTCCCAAGCAGACTTGGATGATTTTAATAAGGAACCAACACAACATGACACTGAGGAGAAAAAAAAACAAATAATGGAGTATACTGAGCAGTATATTCAGAAAAAGTCACAGAGTGTGCTTTCACAGATGGATAGTATTACTTTTCCCAAAAAGATTAGAGCAAGACTTGATCAAATTTCTAATGTTATTGCTAAAACCTGTATTCATCTAGAAGAAGAAAATGTAAAAGTGGAAGAAAAAGGATCAAATGATATTTCCCAAAACACCCCTATCAAAACAAAACAAGTTGATAATTGTCACACTACGGAAAGAAATGTTTCAACTCAAAAAATTAATCTATTAAGAAACTTTAAATATTTATCTGTTGATACTCTTCAATATCTCTCAAGTGGTATCGACACTGTAGAAATGACTCACCAAATTCCAATAACAATGGCTATATTAGAATATGCTATGCAAAACACTGAAAAATTCAAATTTCAAACGTACGTATTCTATTTTTTAAATATTTAGTATTGATTGATATTAAAAGTCTAGAGTGTCTTCAGTTAGGTTCTCTATTGATGGACGCATTCACTAAATACGATATCAAAGAGAAAAAAAGAGTATTTGGAGATACTAGTATTCGAATAATGACTGAAAAAAAGATTCATCCCTATTTACTATTCATGGAAAGTCAACGAACAGACTGTGACACTGTTTTTAGTCACAAGGATTTTTTGAAAATTTGTTTAACATGTAGATCTTCGCTCAAATACACCACCTACCAATTATTTAACTCTCAAAACAAAACTATTTATGATAGTACAAAACTATCATGTTTTGCCTTATTAACATGTCCATCCACAGTGTTTGTTTTGAGAATGGATTGTGAAAATTATAAACCTGAAAATGTAACAAGTATGGTGATGGATAAAGCGTATAGGCTTGGATTCTCTTTGAGGTTAATAGCAACTATTGACATGAAAAAAGATCCAGAATCACTACTTTCAGTATTATATACTATTTTTAGTTATGGACATGATTTGACATTAACATTTAATGGAGAACCATGTGATAGAATTACTAACACTCCAATAGAAACTAAATTGAGAGCTCAAGAAGCTAATAATTTTACCTTTGAACGCTACTATAATATTATTACTGAAGTATTTGAAAGTGATTTTAATGAGATTAGTTTAATTATTAAAGTACTTATTCAGAATCAATATGATAAAACGTACCAATATGATTCGACTTTTAACGGGCCTAAATATGAGAAAACTGATTGGAAACAAAATTTCAATACCTTTCTTGAACAACATTCAGAATCAACAATTTATATTTTATCAAACACCAATTCAACACCAACTCTTGAATTGCAAAGAAAAGGGAATGAAAAAATAATAGTTTTTTTTAAAACCAAACGAGTCTATGATTATTATGATGATGATGAAGAAACTGAAATGAATGATAATGTAGAAAATAATGATGAATTGAATGAATATGATGAACTTGGCGATATATTGCATGCCACATGCTATACAAAACCTTTAAAAAAGAGAAAAAACCTAAAATCCCAATCGTTACAAGATTCAAAAAAATCTAAATCTAACACTGATACTGATATGTTTTTACAAAGACCAGCTGGTAGCAATGTTTCTAACACAGGAGAGTTTTGCTTTGATAAAAATAATTCCACAAATGAAACAAAAGATTTGAAATTAGACAAATTATTAATGTTTGATATGACCAGTGAATATGAACAATTATTATATGAATTATTTAATATTAATATAATTAATAAGTATTATAGAATAAGAAGAGATTTAAATCCAAAAGAAGGAGTATTTTTATATTTGGATGGAATTTACAATAATAAGGAAGTATTTATTAAAATTACATGTTATAAAACAATTAATGAAAATATTGAATTAATGAACAAACTTAAAAATATAAAATCTAAATATTTAAATGAAATAATAGATTTTAAATTAATTAAATTATCCAATGAGCAATTATGTAAATTATTTAAATTAACAAATATGGAAATTAAATATTTAGGATTAAAAAATGAAATTTTTATTTCAATTTTATCACCAACAATTGTGTGGTATGATTACTTTGTTTCAAATTATTGTAAAATTTATCCATTAAAAGATTATAAATTAATTTTATTATTAATTATTAAATTATTTATTGATAATTTAAATGGATTAAAATTATTACATGAATTAAATATTTCACATATTGATTTTAACATTTTAAATTCTAATATAATATTAAATAATGGTTCTGATTTAATTAGTAAATATTTAAAAGAAAATAATTTACCAACATTTAATATGGTATTAATTGATTTTAATAGTTCAAAATTAGAAAGTCAATTATTATTTACAAATGAATACATTCCAAAAACAACACATTATCCTCCTGATTATAAATTATATTATGATAATATAAAACCAAATATATCATTTACAAAAGCACATGATATTTATTCATTATCTATTGTAATGATTCAATATATTACCATTTTGATTAATTGTTATGGGAACAATTGCTTTCAAATGAAATCAAATACTATTAGATATATAAATCAATCACATAGAAACAAAGACGAACCATTCAATATTGATTTTAATATTTTAAATTTTAATATTTTAAATAGTTTTGAAAAGGAAATTTTTAATGAATTATTTGAAATGATAAGAGAAATGAATTTAAACCCTTGGAAAATTATTAATGAAAAAGATTATTGTTTACAACAATTAGAAAAATTACAAAATAATGTATTGCATTGGAATATTTCTGATACTTCTTCATCACCTACAATTAATAGTGAAATGAAAAATTCACATCAAATGAAACAATGATATTGTCAAATGATTCTTTTTCCTCAAATTTAATAGTCTCCCAATATAATCACTTTTGGCAAATTGTATTCCTAAATATCATTGTCA